AGGCTCCATCCACTGAGCCAAACCGGTTTCAGCAGGTTCAGGTTTGATTTCTGGTTGGGGTCTGGGCACTTACAGAAGGCACCAATAGATGTTCCTCTCTCTCTTTCTTCTTCTCTCTAAAAGCAATTTTTTTTTTTTAATGATGGAGGGAGAAACTTGTTGTTGGGAAATGTCTATCTCTTCACCATTTTTTTAAAGCTGGGCATTGGAAAGAGACTCCCAGGATGTGACTTCAGTAGCTCCCCTACGCTCAGCTCACAGAATCCCAGTTTGCCATTGGAATATGCGTAGCTCACACATTTGAATATGCTTCACTGTTGTTGTTTTTTAGGAACTCCTCCATTGCCTGAAGGTAATTCTGTAATTTAGCATAACTTTGGAGAGGGGGGGGAGGGATATTGCAGGACACACCCGTCACCCAGAGGCTAAGAACTAAGCAAACACTGGCTTACTGGAAGTGCCCACATATCAGTGAGGGTAAGTTTAACAGGACGTATTCCGCTTCGATGTTTCTGCCGTCCTAACAGGCTGGGGAGGTGTGTCATGGCTGCACAAGACCTAAGGTCAGGACAGCCAGGAGGCATCTCTCTTTCCTCCTCTCCAGTACCCGGCCCGGCACCCAGCATGTTCACTCCCTGGCATACAGAGGAGCTCGCTCAGCACTACCTGCCAGCCGTGTGCCACTGGGTAAGGTACTTCATCCCTTGGAGCCTTAATAGCACACAAATACTATTGCTCTCTCTCTCTCTCTCTCTCTCTCTCTCTCTCTCTTTAATATATTTTATTGATTTTTTACAGAGAGGAAGGGAGAGGGATAGAGAATTAGAAACATCAATGAGAGAGAAACATCGATCAGCTGCCTCCTGCACACCCCCCACCGGGGATGCGCCCTCAACCAAGGCACATGACCCTGACCGGAATCGAACCCGGGACCCCTCAGTCCGCAAGCCGATGCTTTATCCACTGAGCCACACCGGTCTCGGCAATACTATGCTCGCTTGTAAGGCTCTGTGTGAGCAGGAAATGAGCTCAGAGTAAAGCCCCACGCAGTGCCAGACACATGGCTGTTGGTTCTCTTCCCCTTTCACTTCTTGTGTACTTCCTAACCCCACCCCCACGCCACCAAATTATGTTATTTGAGTCGGGGACATTGTCTGCCCACTGCCTCGCCTAGGAACTTCCCATAGTGAGTTTCAGTTTATTCATGCATTCAGTGAATCTTCTTTTTAAAATATATTTTGTTGATTTTTTACAGAGAGGAAGGGAGAGGGATAGAGTGTCAGAAACATCCATCAGCTGCCTCCTGCACACCTCCTACTGGGGATGTGCCCGCAACCAAGGTACATGCCCTTGACCGAAATCGAACCTGGCATTCTACAGGCCAACGCTCTATCCACTGAGCCAAACAGTTAGGGCTCAGTGACTCTTTGAGCACCTACAATAGACAAAAGCTTGGAGTGGAGAGAGAGCAGGTTCTTTAAGAACCCAGCTAATTGACTATGACCAAAGAGACGGGGGCTTCCAGGAAGAAATGATGAGAGTGAGCTGGAATGGATAATCTGGATTAGTTTTTTATTTTTGTTTGTTTTAGAGAGAGAGAGAGAGAGAGAGAGACAGAGACAGAGAGAGAGAGAGAGATGGGTTTGTTGTTCCATTTATGTATGTATTCATTGGTTGATTCCTGTACCTGCCTGACCAGGGATTGACCCCCCAACCTTGATGTATCAAAGATGATGCTATAAAAAACAAAAAAACAAAAACAAAGATGATGCTCTAACCAACTGATCTACCTGGCCAGGGCTGGGTGAGCTCTGAAAGGGTTTTGTGGGTCTTATACACATTTTTGGACTTTATCCTATAAGTAGAGGATTGTCACTGAACCAAAATGTGGCAGAAATTTTTTTTGTTTTTATTTTAGAATGGCTTGTGGTTCTCAGATTTTAGTGTGCTTAATAATCACCAGGGCCGAAACCGGTTTTGCTCAGTGGATAGAGCGTTGGCCTGCGGACTGAAAGGTCCCGGATTCGATTCTGGTCAAGAACATATACCTTGGTTGCGGGCACATCCCCAGTAGGGCGTGTGCAAGAGGAAGCTGATTGATATTCCTCTCTCATCGATGTTTCTAGCTTTCTATCCCTCTCTCTTCCTCTCTGTAAAAACTCAATAAAATATATTAAAAAAAAAAAATCACCAGGGGCCGAAACCGGTTTGGCTCAGTGGATAGAGTGTTGGCCTGCAGACTCAGGGTCCCAGGTACAGGAGGCAGCCAATCAATGATTCTCTCTCTCACTGCTGTTTCTATCTCTCCTTCTCCCTTCTGCTCTGAAATCAATAAGGATATATAATATTAGGGGGAAAAAATCAGCACCCTACTTGATTCTGATTCACTTAAATATTCAGGTACACGCCGAAAACGGTTTGGCTCAGTGGAGAGAGCGTTGGCCTGTGGACTGAAAGATCCTGGGTTCGATTCCGGTCAAGGGCATGTATCTTGGCTGTGGGCATATCCCCAGTAGGGGGTGTGCAAGAGGCAGCTGATCAGTGTTTCTCATCCATGTTTCTAACTCTCTATCCCTCTCTCTTCCTCTCTGTAAAAAATCAATAAAATAATAAATAAATAAATAAATAAATAAACAAACATTCAGATAGAAGTGGGACTTACTTTAAAACAAAAAGCTCCGTTAGGAGGCTATTGCAGTAGCCCTGGGGAGAGCTGACTTAAACTTGGGCTTTCCCTGCCTCCTCTGCTGCCTGGGCCTTCCTCGGCTTGTCTTACAATTAAGGCTTTAAGCCTCCGCTTTCCCATGGAGGACCAGCGGGAAGCCCAGCTAATGCTGCCTCACCCGGGGGCTGGCCAGAGGCTGGAGACCAGGGGACCTATTTGGTAGTATTAGATTAGAAGGCAGACTACCCAAAACTGGGAGGTGGACTGGACGGCGAGTGTGTGAAAGAGAGGAAGGGGTCTAGGATGTCTCCTGTCTAGCATGGAGCCATGTCGTATTGGTGTGCCATTCTGTGCACCTGGACGGATGGAGAGGGGCAGGTTGGAGAAGGGAAAGAGAAATTCAGTTGAGATTTGCTGAGTTTGAGGTGCATCTGGGCCATCCAGGCGGAGATGTTCAGAAGTCAGCTGGATCTATAGGTTGGAAGCTCAGAGCAAGATCTGGACTAGAAATTCAGATTTGAGAATTATTAACACGTAGATGAGAATGGAGGGGGGGGAACGGCTCTGCATTCTAGACTCTAGAACACAGCCCGAGAACCATTTTAAGGGAAGGGTGGAGGAGGAAAAGGAATGCCAAGGGATCAAGGACGGGCCAGAGTCGGTGCAAAGTCGCAGGGAGGGAGTTCTAGAGGAGTGAGGAGCTGGCAGGCACACTGGACTCAGCCGAGGCGGCTGTGACCTTGTAGGGAGCAGTGTTCCTGGAGCTGCAGGATCGGCCCCAAAGGCAGTGGGCTGAGGAGAGTGGGAGGGGAGGCAGTGGAGATGGCTGGCATGGACAAATTCTTCAAGACTTTAGGCCCAGAACGGAGAGATATATTGGTGGTAACTAACGACAGAAATAGAACCGCATTTGTTAATTTTTCTTCTTCTTTAAAGAAATATATTTTATTGACTTTTTTTTTACTGAGAGGAAGGGAGAGAGATAGTTAGAAACATCGATGAAAGAAACATCGACCAGCTGCCTCTTGCACACCCTCCACTGGGGATGTGCCTGCAACCAAAAATACATGTCCTTGACTGGAATCCAACCTGGGACCCTTCAGTCCTAAGACCTACTACGCTCTATCCACTGAGCCAAACCAGTCAGGGCCCGCGTCTTTCTCTATGCAGACGTTGTATCTCAGAAGGAAACACAGGGACAAAGGCCAAAATAAAACCTGCTGAAGGGAATCCATTGCACCGAAGCTGGGATTTGTTCTTTTAAAAAAATTTTTTTTATTGAGTTTGTACAGAGAGGAAGGGAGAGAGATAGAGAGTTAGAAACATCGATGAGAGTCATCGATCAGCTGCCTCTTGCACATCCCTTACTGGGGATGTGCCGGCAACCAAGGTACATGCCCTTGACCGGAATCGTACCCGAGTCCCTTCAGTCCCCAAGCCGATCCTCTATCCACTGAGCTAAATCGGTTTCGGCTGGGATTTGTTCTTAATGCAAGAGGGACCAACCTCCATGCTGTAGCCGGACGGAAGGAGGAAATGGTTGGTCGCACTGGAAACCTGCTATGGGACAGGGCGGATTCTGTTTCCTCCCGGAGGTTGGGAGCCAGGCCTGAGTGAGGAGTTTGTAGGATGAACATGTCCCCTCACTCAGCCAGCCACGCTGTAGGGTCACCAGCGCCGTGGCGGTCCCTGCGCCGAGGCGGGAACTTGGTGGGAAGCGGGTGGAGGCTGAAGCTTTAAAACCCGAAGGACGAGAGGCTGGCTGGGAGGAAGGAGAAGTCCCTCTGACCTGAGGAACCCTGCATTTGGGCCAGTGAACGAGGGCGTGTGTTTTCCCTAGAACCTCGTGCTGGGGCTACGACTCAGGCTCGTCCAGGCCTCGCCCGGCGTGGGTCTCACGTCCAGGCCTCGAGCCTCCTCGTCCTCCAGGAGGACCAGCTGGAAGCCATTTTGATTAAGCTCCACCACCAAAGGACAATACAGCCCCGCCCAGAGCAGGCGCGCCCCCGCGGCGGGCCGGGTGCGCGTGTCCGCGCCTCTTCCCGCCGGCCGGGCAGGCGCCGGGCCCGGGCCGCGGCGGCGCGGGGCGGGGGCGCGGGGCGGTTATGTAAGCGTTGCGCGCTCCCGCGAGGCGGCAGCCAATGGGGAACCGCGGCGGCTCGTGCTCGCGCACGCAGGGCGGGGGGAGGGAGCGCACGGCGTGCGCGCGCCCTCTCCCTCCTCCACCGCTGCCGCCTCCTTCTTCTGCCGCTCCTGGTGCCGCCTGTGTGCTCGTTTGGTGCGGACCTGGTGCCTCTTTTGTGAAGCGGCAGCTGAGGAGACCCCGGCGCTCGCCATGGCCGACGAAAAGCCCAAGGTGAGTCCGGCGCCGGCCGCCTCGCCTCGCCGCACGGCGGGGTCACGGCGCGGGCTGGTCTCCAGTCCGCGCCGCCGCGGGCTCCCCGCGCCTTCCCGGGCCCCTCACGGGCCGGCCGCGGCTCAGGCCCGGGCGTTCCGCGCCATTTTCCTCCCTCCCCTCTTCCGCCCGCCCGCCCGCGCCGGAGGAGGCTGCGCGGCCTCCCCCGCCCCCGGCCGCCTCAGAGTGCGCGCCGGCGCGAGCGGGGCGGGCGGATCGCGGGCGCCCGCAGGCCAACGGCTGCGAGCGGGGCTCCGGGCGGGCGGCGGGCGGCGCGCGGGAGGAGGGGCGTTGGGGCGCGCGGGGTCCCCACCCTCCGCGGACCCCGAGCGGAGCCGAGGCGGGTGCTGCCGCCTCCGCGGCGGCGGGAGTTCCCTCGGCCGGGACTTCCCCGCGGGGATGAGCGGCGCGGGCGGCCGGGGGCCCGGCCTCGGGCCGCGGCGGCGATCAATGGGCTGCCGGCGGCTCGGAAGCCGGATGGCGGCCGGCGGTCCTGCGGGGCCGGGGTTCCCGGGGAGCGCTTCCCAGTTTAATGGCCTCGGGACCCCCGGGGGGGGAGGGGAAGGGCTTCTCCTCGGGTGTGAAACGGCCCCTCACCTCGGGGGCCATGTGCTTCCGAGAAGTTGGGGTGGGTGTTCGCGCGGAGACTTCGGGCTCAACTTTTTCCGCGGGTTCTGAGCGCCGAGGAGGCTTTTCCCGGGGGGACCGGGCGCACCGTCCACCTTCCACCTGGCGCCCGGGGCCGCCCCCCGTTCGGTTCGGTTCGGTTCAGGACGCCCCCCTCTCACCCCGCTTCCTTTCTGAAGCGGTTGAGGGGCGACAGGATTGCTGGTGCCCTGGATCTGGGTGAACTTCAGGGTCGGTGGGAATCTGCGAGGGAGACCCGGACTAAACTGCATTGGACTCATGTCAACAAAGGGGAGGGGAGCGAGAGGGCCCTCCACCGAAAACAAACAAAAAGAAGCTGCAAGCGGGGGCCAACGGGAACGATGGTTCTGAGCTACCACCTCCGCTGCGGAGGGAAATCAGGGTATTTACTCCTCCGTGAGTTTTGTTAATGGGACTTGAGATTTCAGTCATCAGATTGAGTTTGGTAACTTGAACGAGTTTTGAGTTTGTTCCCCTGCACCTGTACTTTGAAAAGGGAAAGGACGCCCGTTTTTAATTTTTTAAGGGAAAAGGTAGATTTTGAAAGTGACCGGATGTGCCCTTTTAGACAATTGAAGAGAGCCCCGGTGTAAATGGAGTGGGGCTCATCTTGAAAAGGCGATTGCTGCCACTGATCGCTAGTCCTGCACGAGGCTTCGTTTCTGTGTCTGTGGCAGGCAGCTATGCAGTGTCACCTCAGGGTTTCTCATCTTTTCAGATTGATTTCAGCGGCTGGAAACAGCTGTATGCGCTTGTATCATACAGCATGAGAAACCTGTTGATTCCTGAAGCAACTTGGGCTGCAGCTGCTTTAAAAAGGTGTTTGTTTTTTCACATTTTCCAAATTGTACTTTTATTTTTCTTTCAACAGGAAGGAGTCAAGACTGAGAACAACGATCATATTAATTTGAAGGTGGCGGGGCAGGATGGTTCTGTGGTGCAGTTTAAGATTAAGAGGCATACACCACTTAGTAAACTAATGAAAGCCTATTGTGAACGACAGGTGAGGAACTGGCACGAGCACTTTCACTGAATAAAACTTACTTAAATAAAAAACAAACCTTATTTTCATGAGAATAGGAAGTAGACTAGCATAATAAGTACACTGACTTTGGTAGAATGAATATGCCCTTATGTATTTGACATCAGTTTTATCATACACTTGGACTTGGTATGTTGATTCTTCATGAAAACCCTGAGGATGGGTTGGTTAATGTGTGACTAGAGTCTAGTCCTGTGCCACAAGTGCATCAAATTATACTCACAACACATGATTTGTTTCCAAGGTGATATAAGAATATAAGGATGAACATAGTAAAATTTCTTGTCAGGCTCTGTTTTCTTCCATTTCAGATTTGTCTTATGTCAAAACTATTTTGACCAGTTTGGAAATACAGTTAAATGTGAGGTGGTTTTTTTGTTTTGTTTTTTAAGTGAGTTTAAGGACATTGCAATTTTCCTGAAGCGTGTAAAATGTTAATATTCCCTTTTTTACACTAATAGTGGATGACAAGAAATTTAACCTGCCCTAGCTGGCCTGCGAACTGATAGGTCCCAGGTTCGATTCTGGTCAAGGGCACATGCCCAGGTTGTGGGCTCCATCCCCAGTGGGGACTTGCAGGAGGCAGCTAATCCATGATTCTCTCTCATCATTTTCCTTCCTCTCTGAAATCAATAAAAATACCTTTAAAAAAATAAAGAAGAGGAAGCAGAAATATACAGATGCTGGGAGGTAAATGTAAGCTGTAAGACAAAGACGCTTCCCTTTGTGATGAATAACAATACAGAGGCATCTGTAAAAAATTGACTTGCAAGTGTAACAAAAACTCTAGTACCTACATAAGTGACTTGACAAGTATTTTTAAAATTTTTATTTCTTGATTTTTTTATTAAAAATATATTTTTACTGATTTTGTACAGAGAAGAAGGGAGAGAGCTAGAGAGCTAGAAACATCGATGAGAGAGAGTCATCAATCAGCTGCCTCTTGCACACCCCCTACTGGGGATATGCCTGCAACCAAGGTACATGCCCTTGACCGGAATCGAACCTGGGACCCTTCAGTCCCCAAGCCGACGCTATCCATTGAGCCAAACCGGTCTCGGCTATTTCTTGATTTTAGACAGGAAATGGGGGTAGAGAGAAACAGATTTATTGTCCCACTTATATATGCATATATTGGTTTGACTCTTGTATGTTCCCTGACCAGGAATTGAACACATAATCTTGGTGTATCAGTGACACTCTTACCAACATCTTCCGGCCAGGTCCTCTGTATACTCTTATTTGAAGAATTTTGGTGAAATCCCCCTATTAGTTAGTGAATATGTACTTTTTAATTGTGCTAAAGATTTTTTTTTTTGGCACTGGCACCTTTCATATTTGAACACAAGTTCCCCTTCAGATTACAGGGGAATTTTTAAAGCTAATCATTTTGTAGAAGTTTTATGTTGCCAAACCTTATACAGAACACAAACGCATGCTTAAATTTGCTGGTTTTCAACAAAATTTTCTGTGTATCTTAAGTTTTCTCTACTATTAAATTTTAGCTATTTAACATGGATTTTTTTAGAGAGGAAGGGAGAGAGATACTGATTTGTTGTTCCACTTATGCATTCATTGGTCAATTTTTGTATATTCTCTGTCTGGGGATCCAACCTGCATCCTTGGTGTATAGGGACAGTGTTATAACAAACTGAGTAATGGCCAGGGCTAAATTTTAGCTTTTTCATTATTTTTATTTTTTAATTGATTTTAGTGAGCGAGGAAGGGAAAGGCTAGAGAGGTAGAAACATTGCTGAGATACTGCCTCTAGCATGCTCCCTATTGAGGATGGAACCCACAACCTGAGCATGTTCCTGACTAGAAATCAAACCTCAACCTTTGGTTCATAGGTCAACACTCAACCACCAGGCCATACCGGCCTGGCTGACTCCTTGCTTTTTAATAGCCCATACCTACACTTGGCAGTTGAAAATTCTTGACCATGGATTTCCTATCAAGATTAATTGAATGTGCATATTAACTTTGTAATGAACACATTTGATGATATCTTGAGTCGAATTTCAGTGGATGTATAATGGGCATCTCAAACTGAACATCCAAAAGAGGACTCTTGATTTTACTTCTAGAAATCTTCTCTGGTGTCCCCACTAAGTAAATAGCAATATTCAACATTGTTGTGAAAGTCAATACCTTGGGGTCATTATTTTTACTGATTTCAGAGAGGAAGGGAGAAGGACAGAGAGCTAGAAACATTGATGAGAGAAACATCCATCAGCTGCCTCCTGCACACCCTCTACTGGTGATGTGCTGGAAACCAAGATACATGCCCTTGACCAACCAGAATCAAACCTGGGACCCTTCAGTCCATAGGCTGACGGATATCCACTGAGCCAAACAGGTTTCGGCAAGTTTGCCTACTTTATGTCAGCCACAAAGTCTTCCCACTGTAGTGTGGATATACCCTAGAGATTATTTCATGGAGTGTCAGGTGGTTTCAGAGGGCACAGATTTATTGGATTATTCCAATTCATTTTTGTGAAATGAGAAAATAGACCCAAAGAGATAAGCTCACACAACTAACTCTTCAGGCACAAGTCTAAAGCTCAGGGATGTGATTTATTCAGGAGCTCAAGTACTGGTTTAATGTAAATTCCTTGTTTGAATTTACAAGGCTTAAGGAACCGTAATGAAAAGTCTTCTGAATTTTGAACTTTTGCTCCATAGCAAAATATTTTGTTGATCAAGAAAAGCATACAGCCCTAGGCAGTTTGGCTCAGTGGATAGAGCATTGGCCTTCGGACTGAAGGGTTCTGGTTTCGATTCTGGTCAAGGACATATACACAGGTTGCGGGCTTGATCCCCAGTGGGGGCCTGGAGGAGGCAGCCCATTAATGATTCTCATCATTGATGTTTCTATCTGTCTCTCCCTCTCCCTTCCCCTCTGAAAACAATGAAAATATAAGGGGGGAAAAAGCATATAAACAGGTGGCAATAAAGGAATACAGTCCTGGCTGGGTGGTTCAGTTGGTTGAAGTATCTTGTCTTACACCCAAAGGTTTTGGGCTCAATCCCTGGTCGGGGCACATGTTTCACATTGATGTTTCTGACTAAAATCAATAAAAAACATCCTTGGGTGAAGTTTAAAACAAAATAAATATAGTTTGCTTATGTTCTGGGCCCTGCCTTTCCCCCTTTTATTTTGAATGGCTGCACCATTGTCCTTATATGACCTTACCACTGGCTGTAGTGGAGGAAGAACCCGGCATATAGAAGGTGCTTAATATTTTGTTGAAGCACAATCTTCAGTGGAGTGTTTTTAAATGTGTAAAACTTAGTAATTAATGCTTGGCATTGAATTAGTGATTCCTTTTGTAATCACTAATTAAAATGAAAAGTCATAAAAAAAAATGAAAAGTCATGAGGAATTTCACCTACCTAATAAAGGATTGCTTGTAATCTTTAAGACGGGCAAGGGCTAGTTTGTAGTGGTATGTGTCTATAGAGTTTTAAAGAAGAGTATTAAGACCTTCATGTTACAGATAGTTTAAAGTCAGATTCAGCAAACCCTTGTTAAGAGAATAGAGGTGTTACATAAGTATTTGATCAGCACTTTGAATATTTTTAGTTCTAAGAACGTGGTTTAATTTTAAATAGATCCCTGGCTACTAGAACTCAGTGAATTGGAGTGTCATCCTATCGCAGGTTCCATTCCCAGTCTAGGGGCCTGTGGGAGGCAGCCTTGTAAGATGTTTTTCTCTCTCCCCCTTCTTTCCCTCTCTCTCCCTTTCTCTCCCTTCCTCTTTCTTAAAAAAAAAAAAAAAAAAACCAACCCCAAGTCAGTTTAAACATACCCTCAGGTGAGGATTTAAACTATTGAAGTATGGTTTTTGTGTAACAATTATAATTTATAGTTTTAGCATCATATTGAGTGGCTTCTTGTAAGATGCTTTCTAGAAAGCTATCTTTCAAGTTAATATATTTATACCATACCTCCAAAGATACTGTATTTTTCTCTTGTCTTCATTTGGCTGCAGTTCTCAACAGCTTTGATGCTTTGCTCCTCCTCCCCCTTTCCCACTCCTGTTTCAGGATCTCTGGAACATGCACTGAGGAATATTGCTGGGCATCAGTTAACTCAAGTTTCCTTTTAGTATCTTATTTAAAGGCACAGTTTAACTCTAGGTCTGATCTATTCAGGGTTGGATTAGCTACGATCTCAAAAGCAGTACAGCTTTTTTTAAAGAAGAACTTTTATTTTTCCAAAGAAAATTAGACATAATTTAAAGAAAGTAAAAGTCATCCCAAGTCTTTTTACTCATAGAAACGTTGGTAGCAAATGTATTCATGTCTCATTTCATACATTTGTGACTAAATATGCACATAGTTTTTTTATTGTTTGCAGTAAGATGCTTTTAAACTCTCTTGTACAGGGTTTGTCAATGAGGCAGATCAGATTCCGATTTGACGGGCAGCCAATCAATGAAACAGACACACCTGCACAGGTAAAAAATCTCTGTTAACTAGAAAAAAATCAATGTTTTGTAATTTGCTTAACAGCTTTGTTTATTTGTTAACTTTTAGATGTTGAAATATAGTTCTTTATCACAATTTAAAGCTATGTAAAACATGATCAAGGGGGAATAGAAAGGGGAAAAAAACAGGAATAGATTGAGGAAATGTCACTGGTTTTAAAATATCTGGTTATCACTCAGTAAAACTAATATGTTTTACTTTAACCCGTTTTTTTTAAGTTGTCCTTTTCTTCAGAATGTTTATTGACTTCAGATAATAAGAGAGATGGGGAGAAAGATGGAAACATCAATAATGAGAGAGAATCATTGAATCACTGCCTCCTGCTTACCCCATTCTGGGGATCAAGCCAGCAACCAGGACATGAGCCCTGACTGGGAATCAAACTGTGACCTCCTGGTTCATAGGTTGACCCTCAACCACTGAGCCATACCTGTGGGACAACTGCAAGTTTGTTTTTATTTAACATATTTTATTGATTTTTTTTACAGAGAGGAAGAGAGAGGGATATAGCGTTAGAAACATCGATGAGAGAGAATCATCTTACTGGGGATGTGCCTGAAATAAGGTACATGGCCTTGACCAAAATCGAACCTGGGACCTTTCAGTCTGCAGGCTAACGTTCTATCCACTGAGCCAAACCTGTTTCGGCTGCAAGTTTCTTGGTAGCTTAGTTTGAGAGTGGGGGCTGTTGACAGTAAGTGGCTTGCCAGAACTCACTCCAAAATCTGATGCTGCCCTGGCCCATGTTGCTCAGTGATCAGAGTATTGGTTCGGTGAAGGGCATGTACCTTGGATGCAGGTTCCATCTGGATCCTGGCCCTCTGTGTGGGATGCAACCAATAGATGGAACAGCTGTTCGTTTCTCTCCCCCCCACCTCCCCTTTCTCTCCCTCACTCTCTTCTTCTTTTCACACCCCTCCCCCCCAGCTGCTCCCTCCTTCTCCCCCACCTCCTTCCATTCTCTAAGAATCAATGGAAAAAAATATCCTCAGGTGGGGATTAACAACAAAAATGATGATGCTGTCTGATCCCTTTATCTTTACCCATCTTGGTCAGTCACATTGTAAACTTTTGTTTCTTTTTACCTTTTCAAGTTCCAGTTAAGAATTCCACTTTGGAAATTTAAATTAGAGTCTCAGTATTTTTGAAAATTTTTTTTATCACGCCATAAAAACCAGAAAGTGATAAATATGGTATGTGTGGCCCTAACCCGATTGGCTCAGCAGATTGTGCCTGCAGACTGAAGGGTCCCAGGTTCAATTCCGGTCAAGGGCATGTACCTTGGTTGCAGGCACATCCCCAGTAAGGGATGTGCAGGAGGCAGCTGATTGATGTTTCTAACTATCCTTCTTCCTTCTTCTCTGAAAAAAAATCAATAAAATATATTTAAAAATACGGTAAGAGTGAAGCAGCACATCAAGATTGTGGCTTCCTTGATAATCTTAAAAACACAAATATCTATGAGTTATGCTTGAGGGAAGATTTGAAGAAATTCCGTTGGTGAGTCTCTAAGAAGCAATTAGAGTCCATAACCACAAGGTGGAGCTGCATTTTTTTTTTTTAATTCACATTTTTTATTGATTTCAGAGAGGAAGAGAGAAACATCAATGATGAGAGAGTATCAATCAGCTGCCTCCTGCATGCCCTCTACTGAGGATTGCGCCTAAAACATGGGCATGTGCCCTTGACCGAAATCCAACCCCTAGGACCTGTCAGTCCACAGGCTGATGTTCTAGCCACTGAGCTAAATCGGCTAGGGTGAGCCGAATTCTCTTATGAAAGAGAAAAAGCTCTTTTATCTTTTAAAAGCATTAAAAGTTTCACTATAAAATTTAAAATGCCGATAGTTTCAATAGATAGGCTGAAGATTTGTTTGGTTGTGTGTGTGTTTTTGATTTTGTGGTTTTGTTTGTTTTTGCATCCCAGGGTGGGGCTGAATTGGTGGTTTTAAAAAAATAAAAAGAATTCATTAGCCGAAACCGGTGTGGCTCAGTGGTAGAGCGTTGGTCTGCGGACTGAAAGGTCCCAGGTTCGATTCCGGTCAAGGGCATGTACATTGGTTGCGGGCACATCCCTGTAGGGGGTGTGCAAGAGGCAGCTGGTCGATGTTTCTCTCATCGATGTTTCTACCTCTCTCTCTCTCTCTCTCTCTCTCTCTCCCTTCCTCTCTGTAAAAAATCAATAAAATATATTAAAAAGAGGTAAATAAAGATGACTTAAAAAAAAAATTCATTAAGTGAAAGTCGGATGATCAGAATGTATTTTCTATTTTGTGAAGCCTTCAGCCCCACAGAAAATAGCGCTAAGGCTAGTCTACCATGTTCACTGTAAACACTAAACTGTGAGGAGGATTTGTTCAGGCCTGCATTACAAAAGCTTCCAGTGAATTTAGAATTGAATTCATTTTAGAATGAAATTGACTTGTTTTAGAATTGTTTTCCCAATATGAAATAAAAACTGTAATAAATCAGAAAGTCTCATCAACCAGTTTTAATAGCAGTATAATTATGGTGCCCATCATTCTGTTAAATAATTTCTTCTACTCATTTAATTCTCATAACTGAATGCTATGCCTTTTTACAAAGGGAATTGAGACTCAGTTATTAATATTTTAATGCCTTAGCTCTACTTTGAGTATATTTGAACTTTGTTAGAAACAGTTCCCTTTCTTGTCGTTAGGTGCTCAAGATTGTTTTATTTGCAAAATTACCAGTTTTTAAGGGTAATTGTCAACATAATAAACTGTTACAGAGGTTATTTACTTTACAGTGGGAGAAATCATTTGGTCTGGCCCTGCCAAGGTATTAGGGGTGAGTTAATTAAATGTTTGACCAAACGCAGAAGGCTAATGTTTAAGTTGATAATTTTGTATGGCCTAAGAATGATGTTATAAATATTTAAGTGGCCCTTGGCAGAAAAAAGATTCCCCACTCCTGCAGTTTACAGATTCTGGTACCTTCCTATTATCAACATGGTTGTTTTGTGTATAATGTATGGGTAGTGAAACTTGCAAACTTAATTTGTGAATAGCATTTTAAAGTTGAAATTAACTTAAACACAAGTTTCTTCTTGCCCGTTCCCTTTCCTTACTGCATAGATGCAACCACTGTTTTATGCATAGGGAAGGATATGTTCATGTACACACACACACACACACACACACACACACATTCTCTCTCTCCCCCTCTCTTTCCCTCTCTCTCCCTCTCTCTCCCTCTCTCTCACACTCACACACATACTTTTAAAAACACGAATGTTGCCAAAACAGGTTTGGCTCAGTGGATAGAGCATTGGCCTGCGGACTGAAGGGTCCCAGGTTCGATTCCGGTCATGGACAAGTACCTTGGTTGTGGGTTCATCCCCAGTGGGGGTGTGCAGGAGGCAGCTGATCTATGTTTCTCTCTCGTCTATGTTTCTAGCTTTCTATCTCTCTCCCTTCCTCTCTAAAAAAAAAAAAAAAAATCAAAAAAATATTTTTTAAAAAACACAAATGTTGCCTTGTTTATAAATGTTTTTAATATTCTAGGGATATTTCTACTTCACATGTAAATCTGCTTATTCTGTAATAAGTTATGTGGTATTTCATTGTGAATGTATAGTATTTCTTTGGGTTTCTAATGATACTTAGGTTATTTCCAGTCTTGCTCATCTAAACAACATAGTGAGATCCTTTAGATGCATCACTCTTATTTTCAGTACTCAAAGGAGATGATTTAACTCATAGACATGTTCAGTTTTTAACTTAACAGCTAAGTTCTCTATAATCTTCATTAAAAAAGGATACCAGCCCTAACTGGTTTGGCTCAGGTTCGATTCTGGTCAAGGGCATGTACCCGTGGGGAGTGTGCAGGAAGCAGCTGATTGATGTCTCTCATTGATGTTACTAACTCTATTCCTCTCCCTTCCTCTCTGTAAAAAAATCAATAAAAAAACATTTAAAAAATAAAGAAAGGATACCAAGTGAAAAATTACTTAAAGCTGGGATCTAACTAAGTTAGTGTCTGGGATGTCTAAAAATAACTAAAACTAGAATTGGGTACACTTGTGCAGTTTTTTAGGATATTTAGGTCTGATAGTTATAAATTTTAAGAGCTGAATTATCAATGGCTTTTTTTCCTTTATGCCAGTTGGAAATGGAGGATGAAGATACCATTGATGTGTTCCAGCAGCAGACAGGAGGGGTCTACTGAAAAGGGAACCTGCTACTGTACTCCAGAACTTTGTTCCTCCAGACCAAGAAGACATTCTCAATTAGAAAACTGCAATTTGGTTTCAACACATCTGACTACTACAGTATAGTTTTCTCTATTCTTTCATTTCCCCTTCCCCATTCCTTTATTGTACATAAAGTAACTGGTGTATGTGCACAAGCATTTGCATTTTTTTTTTTTTTAACTAAATGGCCAATGGTATGTTTTGATCTACATCAAATGGAGATGGGACGGGGAAAAATACTGGTTCTGTGAAAACACCCCCTTTCTCCATTAGTGGCATGCTCATTCAGCTCTATCTTTATATTCCAGTAAGTTATTTTGCTCTCACTGTTTAACAAAAAAAAGAACAACATAAAAATTCTTGCATACCTTGTTTGATTGGAGAATTTTAATGTTTTTCATTTATCATTGTAAAACCAAGGACAATTTTATAACTTTTTTGTACGTAGCTGTTACATGTAGGGCAATCTGTCTTTAAGTAGGGATAAATTACTCTAAAAAATGAATCCTAGATAGTTTTCCCTTCAAGTCAAGTGTCTTGTTGTTTAAATAAACTTCTTGTTTAAAATGAGCTGTTCTCTTTATTCTGAGGATATTAAATAAGAAAATTGAAGTTTAGGGAAAAAACATGAGACCAATAGGCCTGTTAGAAGTAACATTTAAAGGAAGAAATAGAACTTTTTATTTCTGACAGACTAATGCAAAACAGAGTAACAAAGTCATAAAAGTGACTATAAACTGATGTTCCAGCCTCCTCTTTGTTCAAAAAGCGTAGGTCCAAACATGCAACTTTAATAGCAAAAAGGAAATAAAAAAAAAAAGTAGGTCATACTGTGTGGATTTACTCTCAAGCATTCTTTTCTGTAAACCATTTCCTGAGATCTTAGTAAATGCAGCTAGACAAAAGGTCCTGCTTTAGCTAACTGCTGATACGTCACTTCTCTAGCTTTCATTTTATGAGTATGCCCTAATCTAAAATAGAATCTAGTCTGTTTCTTATTTAAGGATGTTGACAGAAAATGTTTATCTACATATATTTCTCTTAGCATTAAATATACAGGTCATTACTGTCTTCAAATGTATGGGGAAAGATCATGGCTATAGAATCAATAAGTAGAGTATTTGAGCAGGAAAGATAAAGATGATGATCTAATTCTAACTCCTGTTTTAGAGATGAGAAAACTGATCCAGAGAGTTTTCACATAGCTACATGGTTATAAAACTTGGACTAGAGATGTTTCCCACTGCCTGTTAATCCCAATTGAATTCTCCAAACTGGTTCTCAAACAATTCCCACGTCTGCTGACCCACCGATGTGGTCTTGTTGGATCAAGTCCCTCCCCATGTGCTATAATCCACGTCATTCACTTAATTCACTGTACCTCTTTCAGCATGATCTCTTTTTATTCCCCATGTCCACAGTGAATGAGCTTCCCCAGAATCAGGAATTCTCTAGATTTTTGGCTCTATTATGTATATGTGTTAATATATATATATATTTATTTTATTGATTTCAGAGAGGAAAGGAGAGGGGGAGAGAGAGAGAGATAGAAACACTAATAATGAGAGAATTACTGATTGGCTGCCTCCTGCATGTTCCCCCCTGGTTATCGAGCCTACAACCTGGGCATGTGCCCTTGACTGGAATTGAACCTGGGACCTTTCAGTCCGCAGGCTGACTCGACAATCCACTGAGCCATACCAGCTAGGGTAATATATGTGTTAATCTTGAGTCAATTTTTATTTTGCTACCAACCCATTTTTATAGCTTACACTGAGACTGTGGGAAGCCTGCCCCCAAGAATTCCTAGAAGAGATCATTTAAGTACATTTCTCTTGATTTACTGATCTAGGTACTATTAAATAGTGGAGTTTTATGGTGTCCTAAAAACTAAAGTTAAATTGAAATTTGATTAAATCAGAGAACTTTAATGTGGAAGGGGCCTAAATTGGGTTTTCTTCAGTTAGAGGAATTAATACTATGAGTTTTTGTCTTGTTGGGAGAAGATAAGACTTTAAATTCCTTCATAGTAAAAAAAAATTGGTACAATTAAAAGAGCCAGAGAGAAATGTGTGGAAAGGGCACTGTTCAATAATAGAGTATGTTGTAGCTTATTGATATTTGGGTCAGTGTATATATCTTATTTGTGTTCTTAAAATGGACTCTTTTTTTTTAAAATAAATTTTTATTGTTCATATTATTACAAATGTTCCTTCTCCCCCCCTCCATTGCTTTCCTCCACCAGGTTCCTCTGCCCTTTCCCCACCCCCCATTGTCCTCATCCATAGGTGCACAGTTTATGTTCAGTCTCTTCCCACATCCCCCTCTCCCCTTTTCCCCAAGAATTGTCAGTTCACTCCCCTTCCATACCTCTGATTCTATTATATTCACCAGTTAATATTGTTCATCAGATTTTTTTAAAAATTTTTTTAAAAATTTTTTTTAAAATTTTTAAAAATTTTTTTTAAAATTTAAAATTTTTAAAAAAAATTTCCTTGGTTTTTAGATTCACTTGTTGATAGTTACGTATTTGTTGTTCATAATTTTTATCTTTATTTACTTTCTCTTCCGAAAGAACTCCCTTCAGCACTTCATATAATTCTGGTTTGGCGGTGATGAACTCCTTTAGCTTTTTTTTATTAGTGAAGCTCTTTATCTGGCCTTTGATTCTGAGTGATAGCTTTGCTGGGTAGATTATCTTTGGCTGTAGGTTCTTACTATTCATCACCTTGAATATTTCTTGCCATTCCCGTCTGGCCTGCATGGTTTCTGTTGAGAAATCAGCTGACAATCGTATAGGTGCTCCTTTATAGGTAACTCTACCTGCTTTGCTCTTGCTGCTTTTAATCTCTCTTTGTCTTTTGCTCTTGGAATTTTAATTATGATTTGACTCGGTGTGGTCCTCTTTGGATTCCTTTTGTTTGGAGTTCTGTGCGCTTCCTGGACTTGTAAGTCTTATTCTTTCACCAGGTGGGGGAAGTTTTCTGTCACTATTTCTTTCAGTATGTTTTCGATATCTTGCTCTCATCTTCTGGGACCCCCATAATTTTGATGTTGGTTCGCTTGAAGTTGTCCCAGAGGTTTCTTACATTATCTTCAATTTTCTGGATTCTCTTGTCTTCTTGCTTCTGCGGAGGAGTATCTTCTGGCTCTTTGTGTTCCAAAACTTTGACTTGATTCTTGCGATCTTCCATTCTGTTTTTAGGACTCTGTATAATATTTTTTATTTCAGACAATGTATTCTTTATTTCTTGTTGATCCCTTATGATTTCTTGTTGATTCCTTATTAATTCTATTTTTAAAAAAAAATATATTTTATTGATTTTGTACAGAGAGGAAGGGAGGAGATAGAGAGCTAGAAACATCGATGAGAGAGAGTCATCGATCAGCTGCCTCTTGCACACCCCCTATTGGGGATGTGCCCGCAACCAAGGTACATGCCCTTTACCGGAATCGAACCCGGGTCCCTTAAGTCCCCAAGCCAACGCTCTATCCATTGAGCCAAACCGGTCTCGGCTCCTTATTAATTCTAGTTGATCCCTTTTCATATCCTCATAGGTCTTATCGACCTTTTCTAGGAAATTTTTGAAAAACCTTATAAGCGTAGATTTGAACTCTATATCCAGTCGCTTTTTGTCCTCCATTTCTTTCGTTTGTGACCTATTTCGTCGTCCGGGCATTTTCGCAGCTCAAAATGGACTTTTCTTGATTGTTGCTCTTGACCATTTCACATAAGTTGCTACCAAAACAAATATTCTGTGGAAAAGTTTTGTGGAGTACTTTTTAAAAATCACTTCAAAAAGTGGAATTGAGTTGAAAATACTGAAAGTAATTTATTTTTTCTTTTCTTTTGGCTTGGGAGGGGACATTCAAGTGATGGGAGTTATGCTGACATTTTGGTTAACTTATAATTTAGCTAAACTCTGGCTGGCCTCATATTACTTTAGTGAGATTGAATGGAAGATGGGAAGGAATAGTTGGAGGAGAAATGGGAGACTGGTGAAAGTGCAATTACGTTGGGAATTGTGACAGCAGCAGGTCAGTGGACAGTGGAATCCCAGGATTTGAGGGAGTTTTTCCAAGATCTTTGTGTGTGTGGTGTGTGTGTGTGTGTGTGTGTGTGTGTGTGTGTGTGTGTTGCTGGGGGAGGGGATTTGGGGGTGGTGGTGCATAGTATATTGGAGAGGGCCACCTGTGCTGCTGAGGGTTATTTTTGAGTTAGGTTGCTGCTGCTTTTAAATATGACTAACTGATTCTGCATCCTGGTTTTTCATTAGAATGACTGGGTGAGCTTTTATTAATTATTATTATTTTTTTTATTTTTTTAAATTAAATTATCTGTGTACATATCTTACTTACCATTGCCCCTCCAGACTGGGTGAGCTTTAAAAAAATACCCCCAGAAATGTATTTCCAAAGCATGTGGAATTGAGAAGCAATTCTGGGAGGCATCCTTACAACTCCTGAGTTAATCACCTTATGGTGAAGATTAAATGAGATATGTTTTAGCTAGAAAATGCCTCCCACATACTGAACTCTAAATTGAAGCTATTATTCAGCCCTGACTGGGTGGCTCAGTTGCTTGGAGCTTCGTTCCATAAACCAAAAGGTTGCAGATTCAATTCCCAGTCAGGGCTACCTAGATTTCGGGTTCACTTCGGGTTGGGGCTGGAGGCAACTAAATGATGTTTCTCTCACATTGATGTTTCCCTTCCTCTCTCTAAAAATCAATAAAAACATATATCCTTGGGCAAGGATTAAAATAAGTTGTTATATCCAATGTGAAGTAAGGCTCCACCACAGAATGCTGAGGCTTCAACTGAATACCTAAATCTACCAGATGGCCTGCACTTAACTGTAAATGAGAAATCAGAGTCCTGGCCAAGAACTTTCTATTTATTAAAAAAAAACACACCACTGAATATGATCTTTGTCTCTTGTCTCAGTAGGTTTTTAATAAATGCTTAATTCTAAATAGTGCCCTAGTGAGTCTTGAAGGAAAAATATTCCTCAGGATAATTTTTTAATCCTCACCTGAGGACATAGTGACTTTACAAAGGGAGGAAGAGAGAGAGAATCATTGATCAGCTGCCTCCTGCACGCTCCTCACTAGGGGTCGAGCCCGAAACCTGGGCATGTGCTCTCCCCTGAGAATCAAACTGACCTCCTGGTTCATAGATTAACACTCAACCACTGAGCCACACCTGCTGGGCTTTTAGCTATTTTTGCTAAGGAGGTGAATTCATTTTAGGAGAGTGGGACAGATGGGTCAGGGACATTTTTGTTTGTTTTATTAAATAGAGAAATAACATGGAATTGAGTATAGAGGACAAACTTAAACTACATGGTTGTCTTTTACTCAGCTCTTAGTCTGAAAAGAGGAAGAAATCGGGAAATATGAATTATGTTTTCCCTCTATAATTCAGTGATTTAAAAGGACCTGAGGGGTGTATGTCAGACCTTAGTAGAGTATATGTACCATTTCGTTTACCTTTGAGTAAAGAGAAGGCAAGTACATGACAGCCATTTTCCATTATTTGAGACCTCTTCACGCATTTGTGTAATGGCAAATGAGTTTTAAGAGAACTTAGGCTGCCAAAACCGGTTTGGCTCAGTGGATAGAGCATCAGCTTGGGGACTGAAAGGTCCCGGGTTCGATTCCGGTCAAGGGCATGTACCTTGGTGGCGGGCATATCCCCAGTAGGGGGTGTGGAAGAGGCAGCTGATCGATGACTCTCATCGATGTTTCTAACTCTCTTATCTCCCTTCCTCTCTGTACAAAATCAATAAAATATATTTAAAAAAAAAAAAAAAAAGAGAGAGAGAGAGAGTTAGAAACATCGATGAGAGAGAATCATCGATCAGCTGCACACTCCCCACCGGGGATGTGCCCGCAACCAAGGTACATGCCCTTGACCGGAATTGAACCCGGGACCCTTCAGTCCCCAAGCCGACGCTCTTTCCATTGAGCCAAACCGGTCTCGGCTCTATCTCTCTTTCTCTCTGTATAAAATCAATAAAATATATTTTTAAAAAAAAAGAGAGAGAGAGAGAGAACTTAGGCTGTGTCGGTGGGCTGCCACCCTCCTTTTTTTGGTGAGGATATGGCTAAGAAAAGAATGGACAGATGCATACTAAATTTGGCTTTAAGAGTGATGGATGCAGAACTTATGTGTAAATATGTGTGGTTAAGTCATACATAAGTGATATACTTATGAAGTATACTGCAATATTGAGGCTGAGAAAGCTTGTTAGAAATACTTGTCAGTGGGCCATTCATTCAGTCACTAAACTAAATAAAAAGCACGTGACCAGCATTTGTTTTTAAATAGTGAAACAGAAGGGTAGAAAATAGTAAAGAGTATGTATTAAACTGTGGTTGAACTTAAGCAGTTGCTATTCTTGTAGGTCTAAAATAGTCAAATATCTGTGGTTTCACATGGTTCAACCTAATACGTGTGTATCGATGTCAGTGAAATGCACTGATCAGAGAGCTTGGTTCAAAACCAGTTTCAGAAACTAGGGAGAGTACTGCCCCTCCCTCTGGCATTGTGGAATAAATGGGGGCAGTTTGGACTGCCGGGGGATTCAGCACATTGCTATGGTAGTGGGAAAGCTGATAACATTCAAGGTAAAAACGGGTGCTTGAGAGCTGAGAGTTGCTGTGTTAGTGCATGTTTTTTATTTTAGTTATGACCTTAGCTACAGAGGTGAGGCACAAGTGAGAAACAGCCGAAACCTGTTTGGCTCAGTGGTAGAGCGTCGATCTGAGGACTGAAAGGTCCCAGGTTCAATTCCGGTCAAGGGCATGTACATTGGTTGCCGGCACATCTCCGGTAGGGGGTGTGCAGGAGGCAGCTAGTTGATGTTTCTTATAGATGTTTCTAACTCTCCCTTCCTCTCTGTAAAAAAATCAATAAAATATATTTTCAAAAATCAAGTGGTGAGAAACAACTTGTATGTTATTTTGAGTAGTTGTGCATTGCATTCTTGAATAAAGCTCTCCAGGTACCTAGTAGCAAAATTAAAAACCAATGGCATTCCTTGTCCATAGTAAAGGAAAATTATTAGGGCTTCAAACACTTTTCTGTCGTGTTTTAAATACTAGATTTCTTGCCACCTGGTTCAGAACAATAGATTGTGTTTGAGGAGAATGCTGGGTTACTCAAACCTGTTGGGTAAGCTGATTTACTAACCTTTCTGAACTGAATTACAAATGAATAACTAGAACTTTGAATATAGTAAGGGAGTGGCAGCATGGGACTAAGGTAAATTTAAGAGTACTTAACTGTTAAAAGACATGAAAAGTTATAAAGCGTGTGGGCAACTGTTTGTTCTTTCCCCTTTACTGTATTTTAAAAGGTGAAAATGGACATGCACATCTAGGGCAGTGGTTTTATTTACTTATTTATGGCAGTGATTTTAAAGTTGGGACCCTGGCGTTGTACAAAAAGGTAGGTAGACTGCCAAACAGGCCTGCCTAAAATGGCCCTAATCTAATGTCTGTTTTACTAAATTTACTCTTCTTAATAAATCAGAGGAGATTAAAAGGATTCATGTTTTATCCTTGAAGCAGAGGTTCTCAGCCCAAGCTATAGGTGAGAATTACCTTATCAAAGATATCCATGACTGAATCTGACACCCAGAAATTTCAGTTTAGTTGGCGTTGGATGGGGCCTGGCATTCATTTGTATTTCTTAGAAGCTCATAGGTTATTCTGATGTGTAGCCAGTGTGAGGCACCTCTGAGAGAAAGCTTTCGTTGATTAAGTACAACATTCTTAAAATTCTTAACCCCGTTCTACAGATGAAACTGGGTCTGAGAGAATCAGTGTACTTGGAGGTGTTATATGGAGACAGAACAGACCCAGAACCTAGGCTTTTTGATTTCTAGCCCAGTGCTGGGTTACCACAGCAACCTGTCTTCTACTGGACTACAGGGGATGGAGGAAGGAAGGCAAGTCAAGTACAAGTTCAAAAATGTAGGTTAAGAGGGACCCTAAAGAGTCGGGTACAACCCCTCATTTCACATACAAAATACTTCAGATTGTTAGAAAGTATGTGATTATTTTCCAAGTAAGTCAATAAAAATGGCTATCACTTTGATGACTTATATGTCAGGCCAACCAGTTTACAGTTTACATCATTACTTAATTCGGTCCTCAGCTCTGTGGAATCCAGATACTATTTAATCATTTTATGAATGAGGAAATGTGCTCAGAAAAGTTGAGATTAAAACCCAGATTTCTCCCATGAGACCCTGAGCCAGCAACCACCATACTCTAACTCCTAGTCTGTTCTTACGTGATTCTTATTTTGTTGAGAGAGAGAGTAACATTGATGTGAGAAACATCCATCTATCATCTGCCTCCTGCCCTGACCTGGGATGCAACCTGTAACTACTCCAACCAATTGAACCACACCAGCCAGGGCAGTAATTACATGATTTTTGAGGAGGGCTTGCATGCTCACTGGCTAGATGGATCTGAAAGTGTTTTTTTTTAATTTTTAATTTTTTAGCTATTATTATTATTATTATTATTATTATTATTAAAGTCTTGGAAGTTTAGGTCCAGCCTTTAAGAATGGAAAGATTTTAAACCAAACAAGTGCTGTGCTTCAAGTTTTTAGGGTAAGCATATAAATCCATGCCTTCTAGAAGAGAAGAACTTACCTCTGGCTTTTTTTGAAACCCCAGAAGAGCAGTTAACCACAAACTTCTAGCTGACTGGAAGGAGGAGGTTATGGAAAGAGGAAAGTAGTTCAATTTGATGGAAATACTGGAAAAGATCTGCCTTGAGGAAACATGCATGTGTTCCTGTTATGTTTTTGTAAGCCGTGTTTCCTGAGCCCTCCAAGTGTGTCTGCATTTGTTGCAGGGATAGACTTACCCAGACAGGTGGGAGAGGCATGACTTAAGGGTATAACAGCTGCAGAGCTCTGGAATAGTCTCCACAGCAAAGGATGTGGCATTCCCAGCCACCAGGCATTAACAGCCTTACAACAGGCCTTCAAATCAGAACGACTGTAATTCTGGGCTAGTGCATGCACCGCCCATGACAGCTAACTATTAACATGAAAATGTAAAGGATTTCCAGCCGTTTTAAAAGGGATCGTCTTGGCGTGCTTTCTGTTGCCGACTCCATGTTGCAGCCTTGACTGTCAGGTTTCCACAGGAGACACACAGTAGGTACTCGATCAATGTCGATGTAGAGTAGTATTTCCATCCCTTAAGGAACATGCCCTAACTTGCCCACCACAAGTGTATGGGAACGACAAATCTGCCCTGCACGGTGGGTTCCAACGGCCCCGGAGCGAGCTTTCCCTTTTGTCAGGTAACTTTTAAGTGACAGCGGGCATTACTGTGGGAAGCATGGGGCAGGCTCGCCCTTTGTCCAATCATTTCCGAGATTTGCGGGTGGGGGAGGGGGCGGGTCTCCAGACCCTCCCTGACCAGGAAGCGGGCGGGTTTAGGCTGAGCCTGGACCACCACAGCCCATCGTGAGGCAGCACGGTGCTTGGCACTCCGGGGAGCCAATCGGTGCGAAGAGAGCTGTTTGAATCGGCCAATGCCGGCAGGGCGGGGGCGGGGCTTACGGGCCGTATAAAAGCGGTCGCTGGCCGAACAGGCGGCGGCGGAGGCTTCTGCAGCGGTCGCTGTCGGCGGCGGGGAGCTCCTCTGCGCCCCTCGGCCGGGTCCTTTCCGCTCTCTGGCACCGCGCCAGCCCGTCTCGCTCCTCGGCGTCATGACGACCACCACCACCTTCAAGGGCGTCGACCCCAACAGCAGGAACAGCTCCAGGTGAGGCGGCGGGTCGGCGCCACGCGGGGCCCGGGGTCAGGAGGGCCGCTCCGGCGGGGCCACGCGGGCCGGGCTGCGGGTCGTTGGCGGTAACGTGCCCGGGGCGCCGCGCTTGCGTCCGGCCAGGCGGCGGGGCTCCGTGGCCACCCCGCCTTTGTGTCTCCCCGCGAGCCCCGCACGCTGCCCCGCCCGACTCCCTCTCTTCCCTCCCATTCATTCCTTCCTCCCCGGGAGCGGGGGCCGGGGCCGGGCTCGCCCTCAGCGCCGCGGGCCGTAAGTGGGGGCGCACCTGGGGGGTTCGCGCGCTCCCCTTACAGCGCGGCCAGCCCGACCTCGGGGCGGTGTCCGAGCCTCAGGGCGCCCGCACAGCTCACGGGGCGTCTGGTCCCGGCCCCATTGTCTCGCCCCGGGCCACGCGCTCCTGTCACTTGCCCGGGGCAGGTGGCGGCGGGGCGATCGGCGGGGCGGCCCGACTCCACAGCCGCCGCGAGCGGGGCTGGCGGGCTCCCCCCCGCGGGGGCCGGTCCGGCGGGGGGCCGTGGTGGTCAGGCAGGGGGGTCATCGCGACCCCCGGCTCCTTCCTCCCCAGGACCCAGGCGCCAGCCGCCCCTGCCAAGTGCCTCCCCTCCGCTAACAAAGGGAAGCCCGCGCCCTCCCTCCCGCGCCCGCCCCGAGCGGGAGAGGGCGTGTGCCGGGCCGAGCGGGGCCCCGGCGTCCCAGCCTCCGGACCCGGGCTCGGCCTCCCACCGCTTTGACGTCTGTGAGATGAGTTCACCGCCGGCCCCCGTTCCCGGCCGGAGGAGGCTTCCTGTTCTTGGGCGGGGCCGGCGGGAGACGTCCATTGTCTCTTCCGCGTACCGTTCCCACCGGGGAGCCCGGCCCCTGGCCGCGGTGTTTGGGGCGGGGGCCCCGGGCGCCGGGGTGGCACCGGGACCCTGCGCCCAGCGGCTGTACCTTGGGGCGGGGTTCGGATCCGGGGGACCTGCCCACATTGTCTGGGCTGCGCTCCGAGGCGGGATGCGGGCCGCTCCGGGGTCCCGGCTCCAGGCTCGGAGGAAGCTCAGCCTCCACTCCTCGCCGGGCGTCTGCTCCTCATCGGCGGCGACCTGCCGTCCTGGGCGGCCAGCCTGGGGGTCCTGAGCCAGTGGCACAAAGGGAGCCATTTTGTGGGGCCGAGGAGACAGCCGGGCAGAGCGGTGTCCCCGGGGCTGGGGGACTGGGGGACAAAAGCAGGCCTCGGCCTGAGTCTTGGGAGGGAGCTCTGGAGATGCCGTTCCTTTGTGATCCGCTCCTTTCCCTCTCGCCGTGTGGACACAGCGGGACAGGCTTTTAAAAACTAAATGAGTGGTTCCTGGGAGGATGGGGGGCGTGGGTAGCACACCGGCGAGGGTCACTCCCTCCTCTGTTGTCATCCTTCCAGTGAGATCATTTTTCTCAGCGGTCGGACCCTGGAGCAGATTGAACCTCGGTTTTCCCGTTTGTGCCACGGGGTCAACTTTCTGCGGGTCCGACTGTGGCGGTTGGAACGACCAATGTGCAGAAAGATCGGAGGTTTTACCCTTTGGGGTTGAGTTGGGTTTGGAGCTTCGTTAAGAATCTCGGTAACCTGGTCCAGGAGCCCGCACGCTGGCTTTTTGATACGCATACTTGCAATGTCAGACGGAAATGAGCTTTGGTTGTGCACCGTAGGTGTTTTAATTCGCCTTTTGTCATCGGTTTCCCCCCCGGGGATTGTGATCTCGGTCCGGAGCATTGTCCTTTTATTTACTTCCTGCCTTTCCTTCCATCCTCTCCGCTAAAGCGCCTAAACTTTCCTCCGGGATCCTCCCGGCCCCTAACCGTGCTAGACATTTGGTCTCGTTAGGAAATGGTCTGCAGAGATCCCATGGCAAGCCTAGGATTTTGAAAGAAGAAAGGAAAAGTAGTGTTTAAAACATTGCTATCTGTACGTGGAGACGTTTTTGTCGAGTCTCAAATATGCAATCCTGATTTAGTTACCATGTGTGTTGCTCAGAAGGAGTAGTAGGGCCTGAAGAAGTAAAATGGATATAATTTCCGTCTTATGATCCAGATCCTTTGTTTGGGGATGTCTGGCTGTTACAAATGGGCCCACAACACTGACGTCATCGGAGTAGGTGCTATCTGCTGTTCCAGCGGGAACGAGGCCCTTTAAAAAGTTGAAATGGTCAGCCGGGACCGGTTTGGCTCAATGGATAGAGCGTCGGCTTGGGGACTGAAAGGTCCCGGGTTCGATTCCGGTCAAGGGCATGTACCTTGGTTGCGGGCATATCCCCAGTAGGGGGTGTGCAAGAGGCAGCTGATCGATGACTCTCTCTCATCGATGTTTCTAACTCTCTATCTCTCTCCCTTCCTCTCTGTACAAAATAAATAAAATATATTTAAAAAAAAAAAAAAAAAAAAAAAAAAAAAAAGTTGAAATGGTCAGAGCTTTGACTTTTTTTTTTTTTTTTAACCTGGTGTTTGGGTACAGTGTCTTTTTTTTTTTTTTTTTTTTTTTTTTAAGGCCAAAAAATATTTCCCAGCCCATTAGGGTTCTGAAGATTTTCATCTGGCTAATAATTCATAAGGATTTAATTATGATGGCAAGGAAAAAAAATTCACTCCTCTAGGACAATGAAGCAAGTTAGCTTTTGGGGTACAAATGTTGAAAAACTAGTTATTTCAAACTTTAACATGAGAGAAAAGCTTATTAAGAATTTACACCTTTAATTATTACCAAACTAAAATGATCATCTTTATAAAATGTATGCCTGAACACACATAATTTAGGTGGATATTTTTTTAAAAACCCACAAACCAGTGAGGTTTTAAGTGTTTGACATGTTAATGAGAGAACACAATGGATCTCCCCCCCCCCCCCCAGGGAAAGGCAATGGCACTAGAGGCTCTGTGCACAAAATTCGTGCATGGGTAGGGTCCCTGGGCCTGACCAGCGATCAGGCTCCCCACCTCCCTGCCTCCTCCTTCCTTCGAGCCCTCAGCGGCTGCTGGTCGCCTGCCATGTTCTGCCCCACCCCCTAGTGGTCAGCACATGTCATAGCGAGCGACCTAACTCCCCAGGGGTCAATTTGCATATTAGCCTTTTATTGTATAGGCTTTTTATTTCATGTAAATTGGGTACTGAATTTTACTATGGACAGACACAAATAATAGATTCAGGGTAGGACACTAGAGGACCTCCATAAGAATTATAAGACAGTTTAAGATTAGGAGGCAAGAAAACTAATCAGAGTACCAACCGTGTGGGTTTGTGGTGTAAAGAGAAAAATGGCCTTTTGTGGTTCCTGTACCAGTGGCAGGAACTGGGGGGGGTCTGGGTTTCGGTCCCGTCTGTGTCAGTTAACTAATGTGGGCAATTTGTTTGGAACTTCTCAGGGCCTGACTTGGCTCCTTTAATATATATTTTATTGATTTTTCACAGAGAGGAAGAGAGAGGGATAGAGAGTTAGAAACATCGATGAGAGAGAAACATCGACCAGCTGCCTCTTGCACACCCCCTACTGGGGATTGCCCGCAACCAAGGTACATGCCCTAGACTGGAATCGAACCTGGGACCTTTCAGTCCGCAGGCCAATGCTCTATCCACTGAGCCAAACCAGTTTCGGCAAAGATATATTTTTGATTCATTCATACCGGATGGCTATTGTTGTGTTGGTTGTTATTTTTTGTTTGGCAGTCTAAGGGAGAAGAGGTCAGGGCCCTGACTGAATACTCAGATATTGGTTATTTTAAAAATTCTTGCCGGGACACCAGCTGCAAATCGCTGATAGAGCAGAGCCCAGCAAATTACCACCTGAGGGCCAAACCCAGCTGGCCTCGGATCTTGACATTTATAAGTGGTTGGGGAAAAAAAAGAAAAGCAAGAAGAATAGTTGATGACTTGTGAAAATGACATGAAAATCGCCTTTCCGTGTCCATAAGTGAAGGTTTATTGGCGCGCAGCCACACTCATTCATTCTCACGCTGTCCGCGCTGCTCTGTGCCATGTGACGAAGGCCCGTAGCTGTGCCAGACTGCCCCACCCGCCGGCCAAAAATCCCTCCTGTCTGGCCCTTTCACACACAGGATCTCCGGTGTTTTTACTCAGGTTCCACCTGTTGCTCTGAGAGCACGGAGGAGGTGAAGGTTTAGGAGTCACTGAGGGGACCTGGCCAGTGTTGCTCAGTGGTTAGCATAGGCCCAGGAACCCAGAGGTCATGGTTTTATTCCAGTCAGGGCACATGCCTGGGTTGGGGGCTCGATCCCCAATTGGGGGCCTACAGGAGGCAGCCATAGAGGTTTCTATCTCTCTATCCCTCTCCTTCTCTCTCTAAAAATAAAAACATAAATAAAATAAGTCACTGAGGGAAGGGTGGAGAGGCCTCTCGGTAGGAGAAAGTATGAGATGGAGATAAGCCGAACTGTGTGGGGAACAGTGAGGAAAGTGGCCTGACTGGCTTGGTGAAGAGGGCGGTGCTGAGAGGAGTTGGCGAGGTTTGTCTGGTTTCCTTCAGTTCTGCCTCAGCCTACCCAGACCTTGCCTCTGGCTTGTGGGCAGCAGGACTAAGCACAGGGAGCCTGGTGGGGAAGGACACAGGACAAGGCAGGAGACCATGCCCCCTGTGCAGGAAGGGGCAGGGTAAGGGAGCTGAGGCCAGGGTGTCCCCTACAGCCAAGGGGGCAGGAGCCCGCCGGGCTCTGGGCTAATGGCTGAGTGGCACTCCTGCTGTGGGAGCCCACTGACCACCAAGGGGCAGCTCCTGCAGTGAGTGTCTGCCCCCTGGTGGTCAGTTCATGTCATAGCGACCCGTAGTTCCTCCAGTCGATTTGCATATTAGTCTTTTATTATATAGGATATTATATAGGATGTAATTGGGTTTATATTCTCTAACCTTTTTATTCCCTGGGTTGTGGGTGACTTTTTGTATCCACTGTAATGTGTATGGGTTTCTGTTGTATGGACAGACTTTGCTATCTAACCACCTACTATTGGATATTCGTTGTTGGACAAAAACCTGCAGGTGGTGCCCGCAGGTGCATGCACATAGAACGTGCCTGGATCTTACACGTATGCCTCTCATTGACTCTCCGTGTGGCTAGCCACGTGTGTTCACCAGTGACAGCAGGGAGGTCCAAGGATATAAACAGCGCTCATCTGTGATGTTGAGACAGGAGAGACGCTTCATTATTACCTTTGCTTGGCCTTCTCAATTAGTCTGGAATATGTCTATTATAATATGTATATCCTTCCATTTTTTATTTTGTTGAAAATAAAAATGGAAAAAATAAGTAACAAGATGTGCTTCTAAACTTTGCACATATAGGGTAGGGCAAAAGTAGGTTTACAGTTTGAATGGAAAAGAATACAAGAATTAATAAATAATAATCCAGTATAAGAATAAGCTGTTTTGCATACTCACTCCTGTACACCCACTTCTGCCACACCCTGTATATCCAGCTAAGCCTGGAGGCAGGTCCCTTAGGTCCCTTAGGTCCCTAAAAGGAGCCGCCAGCCAGGCTGTTTGTGATGACTTCCGGGCTGTTGTGTGACAGACGGCCTTCCCACAGGTATTATAACGCTGCCTTTTGTTCCTAACACCAGTGTTGAATTTATACCCCAGGGAATCAGTTCCTGGTCCCCTTAGCAACTTTCTTTTGTGGGAGGGAAAGGGAATGCCTGGACAAGGGGGAAAGGTGCCTGGCCACGCTTTTGCCAAGAAATGCGTTGGTGTGGCTTGACATGACATTTCTGCTTTTCCATTTTCCTAGGGTTTTGCGGCCTCCGGGTGGCGGGTCCAACTTCTCCTTAGGCTTCGACGAGCCCACAGAGCAGCCCGTGAGGAAGAACAAAATGGCCTCCAGCATCTTTGGGACCCCCGAGGAGAACCCCCCTTCGTGGGCCAAGGCAGCAGGTGTGGCTTCAGACCCATGGCCGGTGAGGGGGAGGCCCAGCGTGAGAGCACGGCTGGGAGCCGGATCTAGCTTCTATCTTACAGAATACACAGCTCCAGCTGCTCCTCACTGGGGGAAAGACTAGGAGAAGGTGACCAGACGTCCCGATTTTTAAAAAAATTTATATTTTATTGATTTTTTTATAGAGATAGGCCTCCACTCTATCCACTGAGCCAAACCGGTTTCGGCAGACGTCCCGATTTTTAGCAACTTGTCCCGCAGTGTTTTAAAAACGCCGTGGGACGCGGGACAGATAGTTAGAAATCGGGACGTCTGGTCACCTTAGACGAGGGCCAAGCCTCACGCTCGCTAAGAAAGGGTTTGCCTTAGGCCCTCCCGTTCCGCTCCTCAGGAAAGTGTCTTTCGGTTCAGGGGCCAAGCCCAGTGGCGGCAGAGAAGACCCGGAGCCCGGACCCCAGAGGAGGAACTCCGTGGAAGCCAGCGCGGGGGACTTCCTGGACCTGAAGGTCAGTGTGACGGCGGGGACCAGGCCGGGCCTGGAGGGCGTTTCTGTTCAGAAATCGGGTTTCCTGTTGTACGAAGCGCTTCAGTCCTCCCCTGGAGTTCCCCATGGAGGCTGTTGGGAGAGGGCGGTGTTGGTGACGGATGATGGACAGCCAGGGAGGGAAGTCAGAAAGTGAATCGGCGTGACCTTGCTGTTCGGAGGTCTTTTTGGCCGGCAGGATTGGTCTCCCCTCCGTGCTGGTTTTCAGGACTTGTGGATCACCCCACACTCACTTCCTGGGTGTCTCAGATAGGCCGTATCTCCGAGTTCAAGGGCTGTTTAAATTGTTGGCAAACGTTAGACGTCCAGTTGTGAGCGGAGCTCAAGGACAATGGCACCGCCCCCAGCCCCCAGCCCTGCGTCAGAGCTCATGGAGGCATCAGCCACCCAAGTGTGGGAGGCCCACGGAAGGGGCTTTGGAACTGTTAGATGCCTGCCAACCCCTAGGTCAGCAGAAAGGGGGGGTGAGAGGACAGACTCACCAGTGGCCCGTCTGATAAAAGCCTCTGAAACGCTAATTAAGATAGGACATCGTTGTATATGTTAAGATTTTTGTAAAAATTATTTTTAATCTATTGGGGTGATATTGGTGAGATGTTAAGGTTTGGGAGTGTTACTGGCCCCGGGGCAATCTGTCCAGCATTGTTCTGGTGGAATGAAGGTTGCTTGTTGTGATGCAGCCTGACCCTGACCTTGGCCACATCAAAATGAAAGCAGTTGGTTTCGAAGACACAATAGCTTCTCTGAACTGTGACTGCTTTGTCTGTATAATATGTTGCAAAATTAAAATCGGAGTAAAATTTTAATCTCTTCTCTTCCAGGGAGAAGGTGACATCCACGGTGAGTACCTCCGGAGCCCACATTTCCGGTTCTGTAAATGTTTTAGAACTGGCGCCCTGGCCGGGTGGCCAGTTGATCTCGTGTACTGAGAGGTTGCAGGCTGATTCCCAGTCGGGCACAGGCCTGGGTTGCGGGTTCCATCCCAGGTTGGGGCATTTACTGGAATGACCGACTGATGTTTCTCTCTCTCCCTTTCTCTCTAAAATCAATGACAGAATCGATTGAGATTTTGATTCAAATCATGTCTTGGGTAAGAGATTGGGACTTTGCCAGCATGCTCTGGGTGGAGGGAAGCAAAACGGAACAGGAAAGTCAGCAAACACGGCCATGTTTGGTACGGCCAGCAGTGAGAGCAATGCCAGACGGGTGTGAGAAAGGATTAAAAAACCCAAACCTTTACAGATATGTACATTATTCAAGCTGGCATTTGTTACACTTAATGAGAGCTTTTTAGTAAATGGCTCTGGCAGTTCAAACTTGGCCCATGACATTGAGCTTACAAAGTTTGAATTTTTATATATAAAAAGCACTAAGGTGCTTATTTTTCAAGACAATGGTAGCCCGGTGATCTTACACATGATGATTTAGGGGCAGATATAAGTTTACATTCCGGCGGAAATGAGCTATTATCATTTAATTATTTTAATCTGTGAAGTCTTCATTGGCATTTCCTTAACCAGTGCCAGCTCAGTCCTGACAAGTGTGAGGCAGAGTTGACACACACCAGGCAGCGGCGGGTAAAAATGGACTCGCTGGAATGCAGCTCGCAGGTCCTCTGGGTCGGATGTGGCTTCCTCACGACCTCTTCCTCCCCCACGTGCTGTGCTGCAGCCTCCCAGGGACTCAGAAGTTTAAGCCCCCATTCCACTGCTGTCCTCTCAAACATTGTTTCTTTTCTTCTTTTTAAAAAAATATTCCTTGCCGAAACCCGGTTTGGCTCAGTGGTAGAGCATCTGTCTGGGGACTAAAAGGTCCCAGGTTCGATTCCAGTCAAGGGCATGGACATTAGTTTCGGGCACATCCCCGGTAGGGGGTATGCAAGAGGCAGCTGGTCGATGTTTCTCTCTCATCGATGTTTCTGGCTCTCTCTCTCTCCCTTCCTCTCTGTAAAAAAATCATTAAAATATATTTTTTAAAAAAATTCCTATTGCTTTCAGAGAGGAAGGAAGGGAGAGAGAGAGAGAGAGAGAAACATCAATGATAAGAGTCATTGTTCGGCTGCCTCCTGCACTCTCCACAGTGGGATCGAGCCCGCAAACCCAGGCATGTGCCCCGACTGGGAATCGAACCGTGATCTGGTCCAGAGGTCAATGCTCAGCCACTGAGCCACGTGGTGGCTCACACGGTGTTTCTCCACAGAGTGGGGGGAGCTGTTCCGAACTCTGAGTGTAGCCCAGGCGCATGCTCATGGGACACATGCCCTTTGCACTGGCTGAGGATGGGTTTGTTTTTGTCCCTGTCCAATCTGTTCCATTTGAGAAGACCGTTCTGCAGGTAAAGTATCTTCTAGGCTTTTCCATTCCACCGCTTTGTCATTCTGAAATGCTGGCACTGTGAGACCTTATGTAGCCACAATCTGGACCCACTAATTTGGCCACTGACTATAATGAGGGGTTGGGGAGCCTGGGGAGAGTGGGAATCCTGAAGAAGTGAGGGGAGGGTGAGTCCTTTGTCCCGCAGAGGAATTCACCCCCCGCCCGGCTCAGTCCATTACAGATCCTCAGGTGCATCGCTCACGGAACTGTGTAGCATGGCAAGTCCTTCCTTCTTTTCTCCCATGTCATCATCTTGCCACCTGATTGTGTTGTGTTCCTGATCGCCGCTTTTACTTTGTCATCACATGACAAGGGGCCTAATACTTTCAGACACACCTAGGGGAGTGGAGGTCAACCCCGATGCTGTTGCCAAGTTTACTTCAGACAGAGCCACGCTATTCTGCTGAGCTTAAACTACAAAGGTTTTGTTTGGATATAAGGGAAATTGCCTTCGTCTTTTGAGCAGTGAAACACAGGAGTGGCCACAGGGAGGACTTTGGAAATGTGTAAGGAAGAGGAAATTAAGGCCCGCTGTTTAGTCTCTATATGCGCGTTTCTTTATTTTCTCTTTTTTTTAATTTAAATTATTATTATTATTATTTTGGTATGCTATTACCTTGTTGTGAAAGAGAACATTTTGTTAATAATAAAAGACAGAAGATGGGTGGAAATGAGCTTGACTTAGCTAAGAATCCCTCTGGGGATGAATTGCCCCGGTGGAGCTGCCGGTGGTTTTGTGTCCTTAGAAATTCCCATCAGCCACTGGGCTCACAGAGGAGAATTCTGGGAGATCTGTGTAGTGGGAGCCGTGTTCTCGCAGCAGGAACGAGACCACTCACCTGGATAATGTTGGCTCAGCCTGAGTTCATTGTCTGTCTTCATCTATTTTGAATTGTTTTAAAAATGTGGGTTTTGTATTTGTGGTACATTGGACACATTTTCTTTTCCTTCCTTCCTTCCTTCCTTCCTTCCTTCCTTCCTTCCTTCCTTCCTTCCTTCCTTCCTTCCTTCCTTTCTTATTTATTTATTTTTAACAATGCCAGGCATTGTTCTGGACACAGAGCATTCTTTTTCTTTTTTTAAACATTTAAAAAATATATATTTTATTGATTTTTTACAGAGAGGAAGGGAGAGAGATAGAGAGCTAGAAACGTCGATGAGAGAGAAACATTAACCAGCTGCCTCTTGCACAATACCTACCGGGGATGTGCCCGCAACCAATGTACATGCCCTTGACCAGAATCGAACCTGGGACCTTTCAGTCCACAGACAGACACTCTACCACTGAGCCAAACCGGTTTCGGCTCTTTTTCTTTAAAAAAAAAAAATTTATTGATTTTTTTTTTTTTTTTTTTTTTTTTTTTTACAGAGAGGAAGAGAGAGGGATAGAGAGTTAGAAACATCGATGAGAGAGAATTATCGATCAGCTGCTTCTTGCACACTCCCCACTGGGGATGTGCCTGCAACCAAGGTACATGCCCTTGACCGGAATCGAACCTGGGACATTCCAGTCCACAGGCTGACGCTCTATCCACTGAGCCAAACCGGTTAGGGCCGGATGCATTTTCTTAGGCTATGTAAGGGACACTTACTGTGGGACTTGGGTCTTTGGTGGGGATGCATGTGATTCCGTTTCTTGTGTAACCAGAATAGCAACAGGAACTGAAGGGTAACGACCCCTTCTCCCCAAGCTTCTGCTCACAACCGGAGGGGCTGTCGCCCTGGAAAGCATTCTGTTAAGAGTTTCACTGGAGCTCAATGCTGTAGAACATGTGTGTCATATTGTGTTCCTTCTGCAGAATGCCCCACACATGCACCAAATGCCACGTGACAAGCAGCGGGAGCTTGTATCTGAGACTTTGGTGTGTTTCTGATTTCAGATCACTTCTCCCTGGGACTTCTCCATTTCAGGAGGCTAAATAAAGACTTGGTACAAGTGGTTTTAGGAACATGAACTCTTAATGTTTAGTCTTGGAAGAACTAAGAAAAACTATTTTCTTTAGAAGTTCTAACTTTTCAGTGGTGTCCAATATGCGTGGTGGGGACAGGGTTTACTTCTTTCTGACTCCAGGTATGTTTTGAGTCTTTCTAAAAAACAAACCAACAACCTAGATCCCTCAGACTCGCCGGAATCGCTGTTAGCCTTCCTTTCCTCCTGTCTCCGTAGAAAACGTGGACGCGGACTTGCAGGCCAGCCTGGGGCAGAGCGAGGAGAAGCCGGTGCCCGCCGCGCCCGTGCCCAGCCCCGTGGCGCCGGCCCCGGTGCCGTCCCGGAGGAACCCACCGGGCGGCAAGTCCAGCCTGGTCCTGGGCTAGCGCGCCGTCTGAACGCTGTCGTTTTGTTTGTCTGTCCGTCTCCTCCATGCTTGTGAACTGCACAACTTGAGCCTGACTGTACACCTTTGGGATTTGTTTCATTAAAGAAGAAGCACTTTATGTCCCGCTGTCTTTCTTTCCCCCTTTCTCTGGAGGAGGCTCTCCATCCGTCCTCCTGCCTGCGGGTCCCTGGGCCGTGGCATGAGCGCCCCTAGTGGTAGAGAGGAGGGACAGCCTCGTGAGCTTCGTCCTGTGTTTTTAAGAACAGATCATTTGGTTCCAAACGTGTTAGAGGATCTTTTGTACTGATGTTTTTAAAACCCTTTTCTTGTCAGCTTTACTTGGGCTTCCCAAGCCTAATGGACAGGCCAGTCAACAGTCCACAGGCACCGCCCCCAACCCCCACCCCGGGCTGTCTTTATGCCCAACCTTCAGGGTGGCGCCCGAACTTGGCCGTGCCCTTTGCTAGAAGCATCTTCCTGTGCCTCATGCCTTGCTGCCTGCAGAGCAAAGAAGCTGCCTTTTCTGTTTGAACCTTAAGCGAGAAGCCAGGCACTAACGGGGCTGGCCCGGGCGAGAGCCTCCTGCTGACTCGCAGAGGACGCTGTGTCCACTGCAGCTGACCGATTCCCCCGTGAAGCGGGGCAGTGCTCTGACCGCCGGGAGCTGGTGCATGATGCTGGTGCTCGGCCACGACACGAATCTCATCCTTACAAACCGTGTTGTACTTCTCAATCCTGGACTGTTGCTTCAAGTAAACAAATGTACACATTTTGACATGCTGCGTCCTGTGTCTTCTTTCTGAGATGGTGTCGGTGTGCTGGCTGGCTGGTTGCTTCCTTCTTGTGACTGCAGACCCTCTGCTCAGTGAAAGGTCCGGTGAAGGCCGAGGCCAGCGGGCTTCTCCCTGGAGACAGTTCTCTAGAGCAGCCCGTTTCCATTCACAGCGGGAGCTCCAACTGCCAGAAGGATCACGCCCTCTGATATCTGTGGCAATAGAATTCAGGGATCATGAGATGAATTGAGATCTAAAATATGGGGTCTAGTAATAATTACAACAGAGGGATTAAAATGCTTCCTGAGCGTTGGGCACAAGTAGTAGAAAACAACGGCAACTATATTGTTGATTAAATTTTGTTGTATTGTTTAAATAAGTTCGATTTTAAAAAAAAGGTATTAGAAAACGACATTAATTATTACTAGACCTAATAATTATTAGCCAATATGCTGTATGTCTGACTCCTCTACTTCATGCTGGGTGTAGTAACGGACTGCATACCCAGCACAGAGTCCAACCTGCAAGGCGCTTCTCAGTGGTGGGTGGTCAGAGGGGAGCTCCAAAGGAGGGTCCATGTCCATTAGAAGGGGACAGGGTCAGGGGAATGAGTTGCCTTGAGTGATAGGGAGGCGGCTGGGTTCTAGGGAGGAAGCTCTAAGCCGGTGGTCTGCAAACAGCAGCTCGCGAGCCACATGCGGCTCTCGAGCCGTGGTTTGCTGCTCTGTTGACTAATGAGTTTGCCGACCACTGCCCTAGGCCAACATGCTCTCTCAGGTGTCTGAATTGGGCATTATTAGACCTGGCTGTTAGGCCCATCAATAGTACTGACCAGCTGCATGCTGTTGGCTTGTCATTTGGGACTCAATTTCCTAACTTAAAAATGACACCTTTTGCTCTGGCCAATTTAGCTCAGTGGATAGAGCATGCGGACTGGGGGGTGGGGAGGGTCCTAATTCTGGTCAAGGGCAGGTACCTCAGTTGCAGGCTCCTCCCCAGCCCTGGTTGGGGCACATTCCAATTGATGTGTCTCTCCCCCTCCCTTCCATTCTCTAAATGTCAATGAAAGGGTGGGGATTAACAACAAAACAATAAATAAAATAATTTTAAAATGTTTTTAAAAGTGACACTTTTGATGAACGAGGTCACCTCATGAACCCCTCCCAAGATGGAGATGACTGAGTGTAGGGTAACCAGACTCACTTGAGCCACTGGGCATCGGGGAGCAGGAGTGCTCACAGGCGGTGGGTGTTGAGTTTCTCAGTGTAAAGCACCCCAGCTGAGTTACGGCTTCTCTCGTGACTTCGGCGGTCGGGAACCAGCACCTTCTCTCAGTGAAGGTGGGGCTCCCGGAAAGATATGTCCCTGATTTGTGTCACCACTTACGATTTGGGGATTTTTCTCCATAATCTACGCAGATAAATGCCTAATCACAAGTAAGGGGTTCTGAGGGAAGGACAGTTCTGCTTGTCATTTTGCTATAAGCAAAATTACAAGAAATTTCCTAAAATAATTTACATAGAATTTCCTAAAATTCCATGTACATGTTTGCTAAGGTTAAAGTTTCCGGTTAGAAAGTTTAGAAAGTGAAATTGAATGATCTTACAATGGTGACTAGAATGGACAGTTTGGACTTAAAAAAAAAAATTGGTTCACACCTTTATTTTTAAAAATATATTTTATTGATTTTTACAGAGAGGAAGGAAGAGGGATAGTTAGAAACATCCATGAGAGAGAAACATCGATCAGCTGCCTCCTGCATGCCCCCTTTTGGGGATGTGCCCGCAGCCAAGGTACATGCCCTTGACCGGAATCAAACCGGGGACCTTCAGTCCTCAGGCCGACGCTCTATCCACTGAGCCACTCCGGTCAGGGCCAGTTTGGGCTTTTTACCTAGTTTGTCGGCGGCTTTAGTGAAGGAGGGGAAAGAGACAAGTGCTCAGCGTGTGGTGCTTGTGCAGTCAGTGCCTCCTCTTCCGCGTTTATAAGTCATCTTTGAACGGGAGCCGGCCCCCCCGTAACGGTCTGGAGGTCCGGGGGCTCAGATGGGGACCTGTCCTTGGTGTAGCCAGAAATCTACAAAAGGGCGTTGTCCCAGCGTTTTCCAGCGGGGACGGCGAGGCGGAGCTCTTCCCGGGGGCCGGGTTCGCACCGGCGGCTCTGAGCGCCTTTCTTAGGAGCTGGCTCCCTCCACAGTCACTGGCCGGTACCGGAGCCCGGGAGCCCGCCTGCCCGGGAGCCCGGCCGCGGCTGCAGGCGGGGGCCGGGCGGGCGGCCGCTCCCGCTACCAGAGGCGCCTCCGTGTGAATGGCCCGCGGCCCCGCCGGAGCCGTAGGCGCCCCGCCCCCCGCGCCGGCCCCGCCCCCGCACCGCCCGGCGGCCCCGCCCCTGCCGGCCCCGCCCCCGCGCCGCCCGGCGGCCCCGCCCCCTGCCGGCCCCGGCCCCGCCCCCGCGCCGCCCGCCGGCGGCCGCCCTCTCGGGTCGCGTTCGGCCCGCGCTGCGCGGCGATGGCGGCGGCCATGGCGGCGGCGCGGCGCGCGCGGCCCGTGCGGGTGCTGGTGGACATGGACGGCGTGCTGGCCGACTTCGAGGGCGGCCTGCTGCGCGCCTTCCGCCGCCGCTTCCCCGAGGAGCCGCACGTGCCGCTGGAGCAGCGCCGCGGCTTCTTCGCCCGCGAGCAGTACCGCGCGCTGCGGCCGGACCTGGCGGTAGGAGCGGGGGCGCGGGGGGGCGGGAGCGCGGGAGCCCGGCCCCCGGCGCGGAGCGGAGCCCGGACCGCAGAACCCGCCCGGGCGGGAGCTCCGGCCGCGCGGGACACCGGCCCGCGGGGAGCCCTCCGCGCCGGTCCCGATCCCAATCAGCAAAACCGACTTCAGACAGTTCACACCGGAGGGAGCAGCCCCCCATTCCCTCCCCCGCCCACCACGTGGAGGTCCCGCTGGGCCGCAGCTGCGGAGGCAGAGCCCGGACGGAACACTTTGTTTCAGGACAAACTCGCCAGTGTGTACGAAAGCCCGGGCTTTTTCCTGGACCTGGAGCCCATCCCCGGAGCCTTGGAAGCCATGCAGGAGATGCAGGCCATGCCCGAGTGAGGGAGGCGGGGGGCGGGGGCGGGGAGGAGAGGGGGACGGGGGCTGGCGCCACCTGCCTCACCGGCCTTCCTTCCCTGCAGCACCGAGGTCTTCATCTGCACCAGCCCCCTGATCAAGTACGAACACTGTGTGGGTGAGAAGGTGCGGTTGCTCCAGCGCCCCCATTCAAACTGCCCCCCTAAGTCCTGACTGACTAAACCAGCGGAAGCCGGGGAGGTGTGGGCGGGGGAGAGGGAGCCCCACTCTCATGCTTCCCCATTGGCCTGAATGCAGGGGCCCCGAGGCCCCGCTGACAGGCCCCCCCTCCCCCCCCCAGTTCTCCTGGGTGGACAAGCACCTGGGGCCCCAGTTTGTGGAGCGCATCGTCATGACGAGAGACAAGACGGTGGTCTCGGGGGACCTGCTCATCGATGACAAGGACACCATTCTAGGTTGGGTCTGTTCCTTGGGGGCCTGCGGGATTTGGGGGAGGGAGCCCACATCGCCCGCTCACAGATGCCTGCCGCCCCCCCCCCCCTCCCCCTTCTCCGGGTCCGGTGCCAGGCCAAGAGGAGTCGCCGGCCTGGGAGCACATCCTGTTCACCTGCTGCCACAACCAGCACCTGGCGCTGCCCCCCCCACGGCGACGGCTGCTCTCCTGGAGCGACAACTGGAGGGAGATCATAGAGAGCAAACGGGATGGTGTGGACATGGCCCCGATCAGAGGGAACGAGGACAGGCCGGCGGGGAAAGCCGGCACAGCTAAGTGACCCTAGCACCGGGGAGCAGGGCCGGCCGCCTGGCACCTCCCGAGAGGGCGGAAGCACGATGGGCAATCAGTCAGAACCTCTCAATAAACAGCTTGGCTACTGCTCTGTCCAGGCTCTTTATTTGGGAAAGGAAAACGCAGGCGCCGAGGGCTGCAGTTGGATGAGGCTGGTAGAGCCCCCCTTTCCAGAGGCCCAGGACCTGCCCCCGCACCATGCCATTCCTCTCCAGCTGCCTTCCCGTGGTCACTAAGGGACACAGAGACCAGGACTCCCACTGCTCCTGAATCCCCGCCTTCCATGGTGCCCCACACCCTCCCGTGCTGGCCAGCATGCACCGGACTACGGGCCACACACGTTAGGTCAGTCTCTGGTCTGCTGTCACCCTGAGCACCTCTGCCTGCATCCCCAAGGCCTCCTGAGGTGCATTTCCAGGGACAAGAACCACGGGAGGTGTGTGTGTGTGTGTGTGTGTGTGTAATAAGACGAAGTTACAAGGGTTTGTGCCTGTATTCCGATGTCTTCACGCTCAGGGCCTGGGCCTGGATGCCTGATGGTCACGTTAACAAGGGCAGGGGCCATCTTCATCCTGGAAGCCCTCCCATGGAGCTTGGCACACAGGCCTGTGTGAACACACGGTTACTCCTGGGCCACGCAGTTCTCTAGGCCAGCATCCACTCTGCCCCACGCCCAGCTGCCCAGCTCCAGTTTTAACAAGGCTCCTCATTCCTGTTCCTCAGAACGACTCCAGACCCTCTGAGAGGCCCGGCTCCCTCAGGTGCGGGCAGTTTCCCCAGACCGGGGCCCAGCTGCTCTCGGGAGAACCACTGTCTGCAAGAGCCCTGGATCCTGGGGCCAGGGTGTGCCTTCCAGGAGGGAGCCTGACGGGGTGGGCAGCGGAAGGCCCCTGGCCGTCCCTGGCTGAGGACAGCGCCTTTGGCTTCCTTCTCCACATCTCAGCCTGCCTTCCTCAGCTCCTCTCCCAGCGCCTGCTCCTGTGCCAGGCCCGCCAGGCTGAGGAACTCGCCTTAGAAATGGCGGCGAGGGCACCAGTCCCGCTCCCAGCCCCCGCCAGCACTCCGGGCCGGTCTCCGGGGGTGGGTGGGTCAGGGCTGCTGCGGGGCCTCGGTCCGGGGCAGGGGGATGCCCAGGGCGGAGTGTGCCGGCCGGCGGCGGGCCTCGGCCACCTGGCTCGGGGAGCAGAAGTCCTCCAGGAAGACCTGGGCCAGGTTGCGGAGCCGGGCGTTGGCGGAGAGGGAGAAGCGCAGCATGCACTGCACCACGGGCGTGGCGCTCAGCTCGGGGTGGCGGCCGGGGCCCGGCGCGCTCAGGTACATGATGGTGGTGACGGCGGACAGCACCGTCTCCTCGTTGGGGCTGGAGAGGCAGTTGATGATGAGCGGGACGCCCCCCGCCTGCAGGATGTGCTCCTTGTTGGCCCTGTCCGCGCACAGGTTGCAGAGGCCTCCTGGAAGAGAGCGAGGTGAGCCTGGATGCTTCAGCCCGGCCTCCCCCCGCCCCACCCTCCTGCTTCTCTGCCACGGAGGCTCAGGGCAGAGCCAGGCCTGCGAGGAGGTGGCCCAGGGACAAGGACCCTAAGCCCAGTCTGGTCTCCGGAGAGGCCTGCCTGCCTGCCACGGCCTAGCCTGAAAGTGGGCCCAGCTGGTTCAATGGCAGCGTACATCTGAGGGAGGCAAGGGGCTGAGAGGCGTTCCTGAAATCAGGAGCCCGTTCACCCCTGGGGAACCCTTGGCACACTGGGCCATCCCTTGAGTGCCTTCATACTGCTCCTGTCCCCGCCAGTGGGCGCCACTGAGCAGGCCCCCACTCTCTGTTGTCCCTCTGAATCCCAGCACCTACAGCTGTGGACACTCCCTGGACACATGCTGGAGACACGAATGAACCCCACAAAGTATTACCATCACCCCCATTTTAGCAGGAGCCAAGGCTGTTGAGTAACTCGTCCAGAGTCCCAGGAGACGGGAGCCCTCTGCCACACCCAGGGGAAGGGGGGTCCCTCCGGAAGCTCCAAGGACAACTAGCCCCGCTGTGGGCAGGCGCCAGGCTGGACTGGGAACGGGGACACACGTGCACCATCTCCCGCCTGAGAGTGGCCCAGCCTCCGGCCACGGCAGGCGCACCCAGGCGGGGACGGGACTGGCCTCGCTGTAAAGCGGGAGACAAGGAGGACGAACTCACTCTCCGGCTGGTCAGTCATCACACCCAGGAGCGCCAGGCGGGCACGGCCAGCAAAGCCGGGGGAGAGCCAGGTGGCAAGCCCCGCAGGTGGGGGCAGAGGCCTCAGGGAGCAGGCCCACCTGTGCCATGTGAGGCCCGGGAGCCTCCAGGGATGGAGCAGGCACTTGCTGGAGCTCACGACTGCCTGGTCCAAACACGGGGAGTGAGGGCGAGGGGCCCCTAACCCTATAGCTTCCTTGACGAAGGTCAATCTTCACCTTAGCTGAGCCGGCCTGCTGTCTTTGCATGTGAGGTAACATGCCACCTTCCCCTGTAACTTTTTTCTGACCCCTCAGGGACCACAGAGCCCTCATTGTTATCGGGTGCCCACACACTGCCTCTATGAGCTGTAAACCTTTCCTCCGGTACCCACCGATGTGAAGTGTCCCCGTCTTATTCTTTATCCACTCTCCGAGATTCCCCGCTTACTTTCTCCCGCCTCCCTAAGCCACCACCAAACAATTTCATGTAACGCCCCCTCCAAACTTACATCTCCTTTGATTCTAACGTATAAAATAAGCTGTAAATTCTCTGGATCATTTTCTCAGCAATGTCAATTTGGCTCAAATAAATTCATAAACATTCTCTACAGGTTTGGCTGTTTCTTAGGTTGACACATCGTTGAGTGAAAGAAACTAGACACAAGAGTACACAACCTGACTGGCCTGGGTGGCTCAGTGGTCGAGCGGCGACCCATGAACCAAGAGGTCACCGGATTGATTCCGGGTCAGGGCACATGACAGGGACTGCAGGCTCCATTCCCAGTAGGGGGCGTGCAGGAGGCAACCAACTGATGCTTCTCTCATCACTGATGTTTCTGTCTCTTTCCCTCTTTCTTCCCCTCTCTCTAAATCAGTAAAAAATAATAATTTTTTTTAAAGAGTACACATCTGCATGATCCCACTAATATGAAATTCAAGAACGGGCTAAAATAATCCATGGGGACAGAGGTTAGATTAGTGGCTACCGTGGGGTGGGAGACACTAACTGGGAGAGGGTGCGAGGGACCTTGCTAAAACCTGACCAGGGCTGGTTACCTGGGCATGCATGTACTTAAGGTATATGCGTCCCACTGCATGTTCACCAGCTGCAGTTTAAAAATGGTTACCAGGCAAACACGAGAGCAAGTTGGGACTGGCTGGGGAGCGTGTTTTGGACAAACCAGACAGGAGAGAGAAAGAAAACAGGAGGCAAAAGAAGGGCCCTGCTAGACACACGGAGCCACAGACACCCCCGGGAGAGGCAGAGGAGGAACCCCCAAACGCGGCCTGGGATGAGGAAGCTGGAGGCTCTAAGAGTCAGGCAGGTGACTCTGAGGCACAAGGCATGTAGGGCCGTGTTGCTGGGAGCCAGGCCTGTCCTGGGGATTAAATGGGGTCACGCTGGCACACGCTGAGCCCGCACCTGGTGCCTGCAGGCCAGGCGGGGCCTTGGAGAAATGGCCCAAGACATGCCCACCTCGAGGACCCGCCCACCTGGGCCAGCCCCCGTCCATCACAAGTCAAAACCTTCATTGTTTTCTCCTTGGGTTTTTGTTTTGGGGACTATTTGTTTCTTGGGTTTTACATTAGCATCTTGAAAATGGTTCTTTCTGAAATTTCAGATTTGGGGGTCATACACTATTGAAAAAGCTACCGGTACCATTGTGCAGAAGGGAGGTGGGGGGACAAACACATGTATATACATGTATGTGCTCACATTTGCTGGTTCTCTGTGAGGAGAGGATTGTGGAAGAGACAGGAATGGAGGGAGATTTCTATAAACCCTGGAATATAGTTTTGACCTGAACTGATGAATTTCATTTCTAGAAATTTATCCTGCAGATATAGACCCACAAGTAAGAAATGAAACACCAATAAGGTGTCTATTGAAACACCGATTGTTTTGGCAAAATGGAAAGCAGCTAAACACCCATCCCTCAGGGTCTGGCGAGGCCTCAGCGCCTCCACGCCAGGGAATAAACACCACGCCACTTTACAAGAATGACTGACACTGCAGGTACGTCAAGATATGCTAAGTAAAAAAAAAAAAAAAAAAAAAAAAAAAAGACAAGAAGAATATATAGTATACTACCACATTGCAGAACATGCAAAAATATATTCATACAGATATATACGTGTTTGTAAATTCCAAAAAACATTTTAGAAACGAGTAACAGTGTGAGCTACAGAGGTTAGAGAGGGAGTTACCTTTCACTACCTTTTATATTTTGTACCACGTGAATCGGTCTGGGCGAGTGTTTTTTGAAGAAGTGGCATTAGAATAAGTTTAAAAAATGTGGCTCTCAGAAGAAATTTCAATCGTTGTCCTGTTGATATTTGGCTCTGCTGACTAATGAGTTTGCTGACGACTGTCCTAAACCATTTGGCTCAGTGGATAGAGTATTGACCCAGAGACTGAAGGGTCCCAGGTTTGATTCTGGTCAAGAGCACATTGTCAGAGTTGCAGGCTCGATCCCTGGCCCTGAGCAGGGTATGTGCTGGAGAGACCCATCGATATGGATGTTTCTCTCTCTCTCCCCATCCCTTCACTCTCTTTAAAAACCAATGAAAAAATATCCTCGGTAAGGATTAAGAAAAAAATAAATTAAATTTTTAAAAAAAATTTATAATGTCACTGCATGTAGTTGTTGACTGTCATTTGCCCTGCTAAATAGTAGCAACACCCCACAATGTTGGTATCCAGTCTACCGGTTACTGTTTCTAGTCTGTGTCTGTTACAAGTTTGCTAGTGACATTTTTGCACACGTGTCTGGATATGCCTGTGCCCTACTGCGATGACTGTAACTGCTGGGTCCGGGGTTCTGCATGCCTAGCTTCCACTTTTCCAAAGAGAGGCCCCTGAGGACTGACCTCCACCTGCCTTTTTCCGAGCACCACCGCCATCTAGTGGCAGCTTCGTGTATGACAGGAAACAGAGCACAAGAAAGCGATTTAACCTGATTCCGGGAGGCAACCTATCTGAACCCAGTTTTAGTAACAAGACTCAAGTGTCCTGCGATGTCCCAGGATTCAACCAGTTTTCACAGGAGTAGAGGATTCTCTCCCGGTCCCTTCCTGTCTCCATACGGCATCTACGATGGCGCCGGCGTGCACCCACAGCATACAGGATGCCTGAGAGTCAGCCATGGTGCTTTGGGCAAACATTCCCAAATGAATGCCAAGGCTGCCGGAGTGTTTGTGTGGGGCACAAGCCAGGAATACCCATTCAGGTATCTGCTGAGATCCTGGCTTTATATCTGGCTCCCCGGAATTCACTCGCTTCCCATGCCCTGCCTACCTGGAGCAGTACCATCTGGTGACAGTTGGGCTTAAAACCTGGGCCGGGGCTGACGTGCCACCAGAACATCCCAGGGAGGTGCCGGAGTGGCCAGGGGCCAAGGGAACCAGGGGAGAGGGCACACTGGACTGTGAGCACTGGCTCCGGCAGCCGGGTCCCCTGGGCACAGAATGTGGGTCCAGGAAGATGAGGTGAACTCCTGGCTCCAGTGAGTGCTCAGTGTGAGCCTCAGGCACCGGGCCTCACCTCACGGAGGTGCTGTCTCAGCACCGGTGCAGAGGGCGCAGGACTACGTGCCTGCGGCTGGTGGCCGGTCCTCTGCACCTACGGGGCCCTCTCTCACCTTCCCGGGACCAAAAGGCCAGAGCATCCAAGACAGCAGCGGAGATCACAATTTCAGACCTGCCACTGGTTCAAAGATTCAAAACGACCAAGCGCAGCACAGAGCCTTCCGCAGCAGAGTGCGCGCTGCCAGCGTTTCCCACTGAGCACCGGACACGGTGGAGAAAGGAGGAGGACAGCAGGAACCAGATCCGCGTCTAAGTAGCGCTGGCTCTCCTTCCGACTCGCACAATAAGGAGAAGAGAAACGGAACTATCTGTCCCGTGAAGAATTCAATAGATCTCAGACCACAGGTCATCCTAAGTCAGCTCTGCTTTTCTTGATGTGACAACATTAAAATAAAGATGTTTACAAGGTCACTCTACATGTTCTTCTCCCAAGTGGCTGCAAATTCCTTCACTTACTATCTCATCTCTAAGCAGGCGGGAAGGCAGGCAGACAGAGGCTCCCGGGCTGAGTGCCAGACCTGACCCAAGCTGGCCGGCCCGGTCATGGGTGAACCCCGAAGGCTGCCCCGGAAGCGGAGGGGCTGCCTGAGATCTCTTTCCCAGACACTCACTTCCCACTCGCTCACCCCCGCAGCCCGTCAGGCATCCGGGAGGCCGTCCCGTCCTTACCGACAGCAAACTCCACCAGGGTCTCATTCTCCTCCGACAGCGAGTCCAGGAATAAGTCCAGGACCTGCAGCTGCCGCAGATACTGGTAGTTGCTGGGGTCGTAGGCGAAGTTGGCGAGGTTGGCCAGGACTTGCTCCTTGGCGGCTGCGGCGGGAAAGCGGCGCTGGAGCCCGGCCCGGGGCGAGGGTCGCGGGCGGACCCCCGCCCTGTCCCCGGACCCCCACCCTGTCGCCCTCACCTTGGCTCTCCGTCTCCTGGAATTCCGTGACCAGCGCCTGCAGGTAGCCCAGCCGCCCGACGTGGGGGTCTACCTTCGGCTTCTGGGCCATGGCCGGGGTGGCGGGGGGCGCACGGGGGACAGAGTGCGGCCGATGGGGCCGGAAAGGCGGGCGAGGACCCCCCTGGGCCTCCCGGGGCCGGGGCGGGCCGGGGCGGGCCACGGGCTCCTTTCCCAGCGTCAGGCTGTGCGGGCAAGTGCAGCTGGAACTGGGGTGTGAGGGTGGGGCGTGAACATCTAAACGGGGGACACGGAAGCGACAGGGCACGGGAGGCGGGAGCTGCACCAACCTGCCCCGAGCGGCGGGGTACGGTTTCCCGTAGGCTCCCGGACTTCCGGCGGAAGCCGCGCTTAGCTCCGCCCCCGAGGGCGGGGCGGGGCGGGGCGGGCCCAGGCGGGCCAGGGGCGGGGCCGTCGTGGAGCGCGGCGCGCGTGCGGAGTAGGCACCCCAGCTCCCCGCCCGGCCCGGGAAGGGCTGTGGCCGCTTAGGGGGTCTCCTCTGGGGCTGTCGAGGCAGAACCACCGCTAGGTCCCCTTGCACCTGCCGAGGGGGCACAGGCCAGCTCCTCGACCAAAGGACGCCCCCCTGGGGCGTGGGCGCCAGCTCCCCTCCGGCCCCCACCCCCCCACGGGTCCTTTTCCAAAAAGCCGGGCGAGCCTGGCACCCATGCTCCCCGCCCCGGGCTGAGCCTCCACCTCTGGTCAGAACTTTCGGGCCTGGGTAAGGCTGTTTGCCAGCCAGGTGGGCAGGGAGTGCCGGGGCAGCGCCCGCCGGCGGTAGGAACCTCTTTCCACCCAGATGTACCGTTTTGGCCGCTTTCCGGGTTGGGGAGCAGTCCTGGGTGGTGTAGCCCTTAGGCCCGATTATTTCCTGGGGCGTCTCAGGAACGTGGCGTGTGACCGGACCTCAGAGGCACTGGGTATATAAAGCGCCAGGGAAGGAGGTGGTCCTACCGCACTCCCACGGAGGTAAAGGGGGCCCGGGCCGTGAGCTTCTTGAGGGCCAGTACCATGTGCCTTTGGCCCTGGGCCATCATTCTCCCTCCTGCTACAGCCCCATTGGGAGTGGGCCCCGCATACAGGGGCTCAGCTCCCTGTGGTCAGTCCCTGCCTGATGCACACCTCCCTGGGGCCTGCATGGTTATGGCCATAGTCTGCGACCTGGGGGTGTACACTCAGCCAGAGGTGGCCAGGGGGTTTCTCTGCCCCTGGCCAGACAAAGCAGCAAAGGCTTGTGGACAGAGCTCCACCCTGAGCTACTCAGGAACTGCCCCAGACCAGCCGAGTGTGGGTTCTGGAGTCAGATGGGCCACCCATCCTCCCCCCTTTGGTTTCCTCCTAAGCTCTCAGGGGCCCCCCTCCTTGGAGAAAAATTTTCAGTCCTTGGTTTTGTGTTGAGGGCATTGACCAGTTCTTACCGGTTATCTGTCCAGTCCCAGGCACACAGTAGATGCTTAATAAATATTTGCCTGGTGATTATGGTTACTGTTGCCCCGGGGCAGATAAAGTCAGAGTTCTCAGTGCTGAATGGTCACTGATAATCTTTTTTTTCCTTAAAAAAAAAAATCTTTCAAGGAAGTGGGCCTGTTAGGGGATGCTTGTTTCAAAGCCTGGGAGCTACTAACATCAAAAGCTTTTACCTACTCACCAGCCCAATTCCCTCCTTTTCCACCCCATTAAGATGGAGGAGACAGGACTTGGTAAAATGTGCCCATGTTTTGCCCCTTCAGTTCACAAACTGTGGGTGGTGGCCAAGCACAGGATGGGATGGGGAGCAGGAAGGCAGTGGGGCGCTTCAGGATCCGACTTTTCAAACGGGGAGAGATTTTAACTTAGCCAGGCCCGCCTCCTCCTTTATAAAAGCCCAGAGACGCTGAATAATTTGCCCAAAGGCACACAGTAAATTGAGGCAGAGTCAAACATAGAACTCCGGTCAAGCACCCTTTGCTTCGCCTCTGCACTATTTTCTTTGGCCATAAGGGGGCACTCGTGGCAGGGTCCTGGAGAGGACAGGGCAACGCCAACGATGCTTACTCAGGCCAGCTGGTCCCGTGGAGAAGGAAGGCTAGAGGCGTATCATGAAAATAAAATCAATCCTCCTGATAAGGTTTTCTCGTTGGAGCCTGGTTGAGCCTGAATCAACAAACCAGGCCCTGGGCGTGAGCAGCCCCTGCTAAGCTGGGGGGACTGAGGGGGAGGAGGACTCCTCCAGGCGCAGTTCCCGCTTCATTAGCTCCCGGGGTTTATAGTCTGCGGCAGGAAACACTTCTGTGTGTAATTCAAACACACGTGTTCGGTTCCTCCGGCCAGGACCCTGCCAGGACAAGCCCGGGCCGATGGCAGCCAGCCCCCCACAGGGGTGACCTCGGGGAAGGGCACCAGCCAAGGGTGTGTGGGGAGCGCTCTGACCTCCAGGCCAAACACAGGCCCCTGGGCAGCAGGCCCAACAGCTACTCACCCAGGGCTGACGCCTCTGACACAGCAGGGAGACAGGAGGGCAGGAGAGGGGAGCAGAAGGCCTTTGGTTGCAAAGACAGCTGTATTTTCCCAGAGGCCCTTGGGGTCTGCCTAGCAATCGGACCCTCCCTGCTGCTCAGTCAAATGCCAGCTCCCCCCACCAACCCCAGCACTGATCTTCCCGGTCCAATACTGGGTGGGGCAAAGGAATGAGACCCTGGAGGGGGCCCTGCCACCCGAGCAGGGGGTTCCTCACACTTCACTGATTTGAGGACCCACATCAGGTGCTCCCCTCCGATTCTCTGCTCAGACACCAGGACAGGTGCTCCACCGACATTTAATCTGTCTGAACCCTGATGCAGGCTCATCCGCAGCGTGGCCATCGGTGGCTGCCGGCCACCACCGATTCTCTCCCAAGGCCCTTCCTCCCAAGTCCCAGTCCGAGGGGGCCCCAGCAGCCTGTGCCGGGGGCAGCCCCGAGGGCAGGGGCTGGGCCACAGGGAGGAAGGGAGGCTGGGGGGCTCGGGACAGGTGAGCTCTTTGGAACTGTCTGGAGCTGGAGAAGGACAGAGAGGTCACCTCGGACGCATCCAGGCTGGACCCAAAGGCCCGGCGTGGTGAGTTGTAGCAGCGGCAGTGGGCGGCCAGCTGAGCCCGGTCGGCCGTGAGAGACCCAAGCAGAGCTCAGACCCACCTTCCTGGGCCCCACGTCCCCTGGTGCCCAAGGAAAAACGTCAGGAGGACCAGCTCCTGGATTTTGCTCCTCAGAAGGAACCCTGAGTCTTCGGAGGCCAGCTCCTGGCTGAGCCCCGACGTGCGGGGCGGAACGGGACGGGATGGACGGGACGGCCTTTGGGTCCGGCTTTGCCCGTGAAACAGCAGGACGTCCGTTCCCGGGCGGAGGCAGTGTTCGCTCCCCGGCCTCGGGGCTCAGATGCCGGTCACACGTGTGATCCTGGGGCTCAGACGCTGGTCACATACGTGATTTCTTCGGTGCACGGCTGCTTCTCCGCACTGCCGGGGTCCTCCCCGGGGAGGGCGGGCAGCGGGGCCGCCTCCGGAATGGCCGCCTCCGGGATGGCCGCCTCCGTCCCGGCCGGCCGGCCCTGCCTCTCCTTCCGCTGAAGCGCACAGAAGCCGCCGCCCATGAAGAGGGCGGAGGAGACGATGAAGAAGCTGGACATGTAGAACACGTAGCTGAAGTTGCTGTCGGTGCTGTCCAGGACAAAGCCTGCGGGGCGGAGAGCAGTGAGGCCCAGCCCCGGCGGCCAGCCCCCCATGCACCGCCCGCCCGCCCGCCCGGCGAGGGCAGGGCTTTCCGTCTGTCTCTGAGGAACCCCGGGACTGGGGACTGTGCTGGCAGCGAACAGGCACTCAGTGACTCGTGGGTAAAGGGAAGGGGGAGAGGAAGCACGGACCCTCCGCGGGCCCAGGCAGGGGGAGTCCTCGGCCAGAGGGAACTGAAGGGCTGTGCTCACTCTGGGGCAGGCGCTTTGACCAGGGCCCGTGGAGTGCGGATATCGGCTCGGCACAGGCCAAGCCCCGGTTACGGCAGGTGTTCTTTTCTGCATTTTGCAGGTGACACCGTGGCTCAGAGAAGGTAAGTGACCTGTGGGGTCGGTCCCACGGCAGGAAGTGGCAGAACCAGGATGTCAGGAACAGCCAATCCGTGCCGCGTAGTGACTCTGCCCATCTTCTCTACTAAGCACTTTACGATGTGACTTGTGACCCTCACCACAAGCCTACGAGGTAGACTCTATTCTCATCCTCACTTTGTTGACAAGAAAGCAGGTACAGCCGAAACCGGTTTGGCTCAGTGGATAGAGCGTCGCCGGCCTGCGGACTGAAGGGTCCCGGGTTCGATTCCAGTCAAGGGCATGTACCTTGGTTGCGGGCATAACCCCAGTAGGGGGTGTGCAGGAGGCAGCTGATGGATGTTTCTTTCTCATCGATGTTTCTGACTCTCTATCCCTCTCCCTTCCTCTTTGTGAAAAATCAATTAAAAAATGTAAAAAAAAAAAAAAAAAAAAAAAAAAAAAGAGAAAGAAAGAAAGTAAGAGAGAAAGAGAGAAAGAAAGAAAGAAAGAAAGAAAAAGCAGGTACAGAGAGGAAGATGACAGACTCAGGTAAGTGTGCTACCCAAACCCCTATTTTTAACTCCTCATACTGAGTGCCAGCTGGGGACCAGGCTGCAGCCAGTCCCGTGAGGTGCCTGGGGAAAAAAATCACAGATTCCAAGCCCCTACCCCTGGGATGCTGGCCGGCCCTGAATCTGTGCAGACGGTTCCCTCCGCCTCACCCCCTAACCCTGCCCTCCCAGGCCGCGCCCTCCCTCTGGGGCCTCACCAGCCATTGGCGGGGAGAGGAGGATGGAGATGCTCTCCAGGATGGTGCAGAGGCCCAGGGCCCTGGAGAACCGGTCCATGGGGACCACGTCCATGAGCACCTGGAAGAAGAGGGCGCCCACCACGCTCATGGACACGCTGTACACCAGGCAGTAGCCCACCAGCACGCGGTAGTTGGCCGACACCGTGCACACCAGGTTGGTGAGCCCGTTGAGCAGGACTGCGAGGCTGAAGAGGTACTTGCGGTATCGGGCGAAGTTCGGGCGGCCGGCCACCAGCCCGGCCATGGGCCGCAGGAAGATGTTGCTGAAGCCGATGATGGAGATGAGCAGGGCGGCCTTGTGCTCGTCCACCCCGTGCCGGATGGCGTACGGCACCAGGAAGACCTGGGGCAGCGGGAAGCCGAGGATCATCCACGTGACGCCCAGCGTGAACACGCGGTAGCCCCCGTTCTGCCACAGGATGTCGAAGGCCAGGTAGCGCAGGGTGGCCCGGCCGCATGCTGCCAGGCGGCCGGGCGCGGGGGACTTGGAGGGCACGGGAGGGCCTTCTCTGGACGCAGGGGCCGCGCCAGGGGCCACACTGGGGGCCACGGGCCTCAGGATGGCCCCGCAGACGCAGCAGTGCAGGAAAACCCCGCCGAAGACCAGGAAGGTGCCCCTCCAGCCCAGCTCCTCCAGGAGGTGGCGGGCCAGCAGCGGCCAGAGGGTGATGCCCAGGGAGACGCCCACCGAGGCCACGGCGTTGGCCAGTGCCCGCCGGCGGGTGAAGTAGAAGCCCAGCACGGTGATGGTCGACTGGAAGCTGAAGCACAAGCCCAGGCCTGTGGGGGGAGCGGGGGACCAGCTCGAGGGCGTTCTGGAGCCGCCCACAGCGGGGTCCCGGGCCCACAGCACCCACAGAGGGTAACGGGGGCCTGTCCCGCGTCTGCTCTCCTTCCCTTCTAGCTCACACCCACCTCCAGGTCCCCAGGGATCTGAGATGGGGTCAGCCTGCCTGCCCCCCTCCCTAGAAACATTCACCCCTCAGGGCTGCCAGGGGCACATCTGTCGCCTGGGCACAGTACTCGGGTGATCTTTAAAAACTTAACATCAGCCCGGCCAGCGTGGCTCAGTGGCTGAGCGTCAACCTGTGAACCAGGAGGTCATGGTTCAAATCCCGGTCAGGGCACGTGGCGGGCTTTCGGGCTCGGTTCCCAGTGTGGGGTGTGCAGGGGGCGGGGGGCAGCCGATCCATGATTCTCATCATTGATGTTTTGCTCTCTCTCTGCCTCTCCCTTCCTCTCTGAAATCAATACAGATATATATTTTAGCTCTAGCCGGTTTGGCCCAGCCAGGCCCCTGGTCAAAGCATGTGCAGGAGGCAATCAATCCATGTGTTTCTCTCACATCGATGTTTCTATCTGTCTTTTCCTCTCTCTTCCACTCTCTCTAAAAAAAAATTTTTTTTGTTTATATATGTTTTAAGACAACAACTTAAAATCACAGTAAGTCTCTCCCCTGCTGAACACCTTCCAGAGACTTCCGCTCACACGTAGGGGGAAAGCCAGAGTATTTACTCTGCCCCGGAAGGCTCTGTACCATCGGGCCTCCGGCCCCCTCTTGGCGGCCACCTCAGGCCACGCTCCCTGTCTGTCACTCACCGGGAGGCAGCCACCTCAGCTTTTCCTCTTTCTCTGGACACCACGCTGCTCCCTGCCTCGGGCATTGCTGCTGTGTTCCCTCTGCCGGGGACACATCCCTGGACTTCCCTGTCCTGATGCAGCTCCCTCTGCAGCCCCCACACAGCTGGGCCATCTGGGGAGAAGCTCACAGCCACCATGACCACTGGCCTCAGGCAGGCCCTGGGTGGCCAGACATGCCATCCATCGACTCTCCCTCCTCCTGGATGAGGCCCGGGCTTTCTTCCTCTTTATACTCCACACCTCACCGCTCCTCACTCCCCGCTGTCAGCCGCCTTCGCCTTCGCCTTCGCCTTCCCACTGGTGACAATGGACCATCTGTGCCCACAGTCAAGGCCAGCCCTTCCCTCCTGCTCTGCCTCTTGTCCACTGGGAGGGAGAGCGCTCCAGCAGTGTCCCTCTCTCCTGCATCACCCGGTTCCCCGCCCCCTTTTCCAGATCGTTCTCCTCCGTTGTTATTTCTCTCATTAAAAACAAAACACAACCCTCCCTTGACCCCACGGCCTCTCCTGGGTCCCCGCCCATTTCTCTGTTCCCCTTGCACCAGAATCTCGTGTGAGGCTTGATCAGCTCAGCCATCGCCAACTGCCCTCCGCCTGCGCTGTGTCGAAACGGCTCCCATCAGACGTGCACCCCACCTCTGCTCCAGAGCTGCTCTCGCTGCCGTCACCAACCTCTCCATTGCCAAATCCAAAGAGCCTGCGCCCCACTGGCTCTGACCCGGCAGCGGCTTGGCACCCGGAACCACTCCCTCTTCCTCTTCATTTTCTCCCTCTGGAAACCCCATCCTCCAGGCTCTCCCACTTCTCTGTCCCTTCTCCGTCTGGGCCCCTGCACACCGGAGCGCCCTGGGCTCATCCTCCCTCTCCCTCTGACAGCAGGGTGACCCTCCGCTTGAGACTTGCATACCAGCCATCTCGCTCAGCGCGGGGCCTGTTCCCCTCTGAGCTGCCCGTCTTCCTGCAGACCTGCCCTCCCCTCCTTCCCTGTGGTGGTTATGGCTGCTTCATTCTTCCGGTGGCTCAGGGCCCACCTTCCTGCTCTTGGCTCACCCTTCCCTCTTCTCTGCACTTCACATGCTCAGCCTCTCACAGGGCTTTCTGAACACCCCGGCCGGCTGGCAGGTGCTTTGCAAACAGTGGTCACATGATGTCACTCACCCGGCCGCCCGAACCCGTCCCATGACTTCCCAAATCACTACAACTGAACCCCCATCCAGCCTCCACCCCTGTTCATGCCCCTCTTCTCATCTGGCCACCGCACTGCTCCTGGGCACCCCAGGGCCTTTGCACTTGCTCTCCCCTCTGCCTGGAATGCCCCCCCCCCCCGAACCTGGTGCAGACCCCCTTCTTCAGCTCTCTGCCAGCTACCCCTTCCTCTCAGCCTCCTCTGCTTGCCCTCCCTTGGACCCTGCGTACCTTCCGCTTCGGGCGTTCTCCATCGTCTACCTGCTCCCTTGTTTAACCCTGCTCGCCACCGCCCTCCGCCGGGACGCTGTCACAGCGGCTGTCCCGTCTTCTCACGCACTTGTCGCGATCAGATATGCCCCTTATTTATCTGTCCGTGGCCCCTCTCCCTGCGGGCTCCCTCCTGGGAGCGGCCCCCCCGCGCTGAGCTCTGCCGGCCCTGTCCACCTGCACCGGACACTTCCCAATAGGCGCCCAGCGGTTCTCCGAACGGATGGCAGTCACCTGTGAAGAAGCCCGCTGCGAGGTAGAGCTGGCCGAGGGAGCGGCAGAAGGAGCTGGCCACCATGCCCAGGCTGGCCAGCACGCCCCCCAGCATCACGGTGGGTCGGCAGCCAAAGCGTCCCACCAGGATGCTGCACAGGGGCCCTGTGGGGGGGAGGGGCGGGGTGAGAAGCCAGCCAGCAGGGAGGAGCCCGGGGAGGGAGGGGAGGGGGGAGGGCAGGTCAGGTCGGGAAGGGGTTCCAGCAGGAACTAGCCAGGAGGCTTAAAGGGCATAAGTCCTAGGGCCCGCAGTCCTGGATCCTGATGCCCACCCTGCCATGCACTGCCCACGTGACCCCAGCAAGGCTCTCTCTCTCTCTCTCTCTGCCTCAGTTTCCTCTCCTACAGGAGGGATCAGGCTGGGGGATGTGTGACCAGGTGGGAGGTAAGGTGCTGCCGATGGCCGACGTCCAGTTGGACGCAGACAAGGACCGTCGCCGCCCACCTGAGGCTGCTTCCAGCCGCTGGAACAGGGTCGGCTCAAGGCCGGGGCGCTCTTCCCTGGGGCTCTGTCTCGGGGTGGAGGAGGGGGTGACCCAGGCATCTAAATCATAGTGAGCACCCCCCCCCCCCATCCTCAAGAGACTGGCCACAGCCCTCCCTCCTGCTCCCACCCGTCTGCCTAGGGTGAGCAGTGGGGCCTGGGCCGCTCTGCACCCCTTTGCACTGGCCGCTGGAGAAAACTGGGTGGGGTCCCTTCTCCCCCCCGCACGGCCTCCAGCCACCACCAGAGCCGGGCACCCAGGTGTGTGGCTGCTGTGGGAGAGGGGCCTGTCTTCCCCCACCCCACCCCACCCCACCCCACCCCGAGCGGCTCTCTCCGGGCCCAGACCCAGAGGAGTCGAAACCAGCCAGTCCCGGCCAGCTGCACTGGGCAAGGCCCGTTCGCCTCCTCACTGGTGCCCTGCCCCCAAGCCCGCGGAACGGAGTTTCAGGGAAAGTGTGAGTGTGCACGAGGCTAGGGCGTGTGTGTGTCTGGGGTGAAGCGGGGGGTGTGCGTGTGGCCGCTATCAGCTTTGGGGGGAAAGAGGAAGTGAGCAGCCCATGCTCAGAGATAAAGGAGCAGAGGCCACAGTGCAGGGACAGGCGAGGCTTGGCTGGGGGTATGACCCCGGGGCCCACACAGGCTCCCGCCGCCTTCGCTGACCTGTGTCAGGAAAGGTGATATTGGGGAAAGCCCTGAGTCATGGAGCCGGGGTGGGCCTGGGCCGGCAGCCAGCTCAGCTGAGAGAGCTGGGGGTGCGGGGTGGGGCGCTGGGAGGCAGGGTGTTCCGCTGGCAGGCGCCAGAACTCACTCGGCAACCTTGGGCAGGCCTTGCACTTTGCTCTTGCTTGCTTTCCTCATCTCTGAAATGTGTGGGAGCAAGGGGCGCTTCGGATCAACGATACTTCCCAGTTTAAAAGGGTCTATCGATCTCGGAGCATGGGCTAAAGGCGTGTGTGTGAGAGAGACAGCCAGACGGACAGACAGGAGTCCCAAGCAGCCTGCTAGGGGGCAGTGAGGGGAAAGCTGGCTGCGAAGTGGGTGTCCCAGTAGATGCCCAGCTCCCAGCCTGTGGCCCAGACCCGTCTGGCTGCGTGGAAGGAGCCCTCTGAGATGCCCACTTCTGCACCAGCCTCCCAAGTGAAAAGGTCAGGTGGCCTGGGCTCGGCCTGGCCGTTTCCCCTCGCCCTGAGCCCGTGCCCGGGGTGACAGGTTCAGGAGGCATTCCAGCAAAGGTGGCACCTCGCAGTCTGACCTCCCGCCCAATTGGAGGGAAGGAAGTGGAAGGACAAGCAGCTACACCAGTGGCAGGAAGTGGCAGGAGGTAGGCAGGGAGATGAGGTCTGCCAGGCAAGAATCCCACACCCTCATGCCCCACCAGACACCACTCCAGGTGACCAGGCCCCCCTACAGGCCCCTGCGGAGTCTCCCTGAAGGCCAGAGCAGCCAGAAGCTGGGGGCAGGCCCCTGAGCCCGCGGCTGCTGTGCAGACTCCCTGGACCGCTCCTGACCTCCCCCCATGGCTGGGGTCAGGGTGAGGTGGTCACAGCCCTGGAGGAGCCAACCAGGAAATGAGGGGGGCTGCCTCCTCCATCTCCCAGCTCTTGCAACCCCCCTCTCTGCTGCCTGGTGAGAGGGCTCTCGCAATGCCCCCATCTCGCTCCCGGTGCCTTCAAAGAGCCCCTTTGGGTCCTGACGCTCGGGTGAGGATCTCAGGATACAAGCCTTCACAACTGACATCTCCCTCCCTCAGCGCTTGCTGAGTGTCACGTGATGTCCCCACGACCCCACGTGGGAGGTGGGCCGGACGCAGGGTGTCACCCCATGTTGCAGGGGAAGGAACGGAGGTTCGGGGTGACCTCCCAGCTGGACCCCAGGCTGCGCCTCCTCTGGACTGGATCCATCCTCCCCAGCCCTTGTCCAGCCCAGCCCAGCCCAGCGGATTCCAGCCCAGGGAGCCAGAGGCCCTGCTGAGATCAAGTGAAATCTTAGGAATTCACCCTGAAGGCAAAGCGCGTGGCCTCCAGGAGAGGGACCCAGAGGCCAGCGAGGCTGTGGCTCTTCCTGCCCTCCCCGTCCCGTCCCTCCTCAGCGGCTCACCCCCTGCGTGGAGCATGGCCGTCAGGATGGAGGGGAACCAGGAGGTCTCGCTGTTGCTGGCCTGGAACTCGCGCTGCAGCTCAGTGAAGAAGATGCCGATGCAGGCGGGGAAGCCCAGGGTGAGGGCCTGGGCCACCACGGAGGCCAGCAGGACCACCCAGGCCCAGCAGCCCTCGGGCCGCTCCAGGGCCCCGGGCATCCTCTGCTGGCACCGCTGCCAGCTGCTGCAGCCTCGCTGCCACCGCTACCAGCGCCTGGGCCGCCTGGGGGGGAGAGAGGGGACAGAATGACGCCGCCAGCCTCCCCGGCTCACCGGCCGCCTTCCCTGGGCGGCTGAAACCGTCCCTCTTGCCTCAACAGCAGGTATCAGAGGAGCGCCACCCCCTGGGCGGCGGCCAGGGGCCCACGCGTTGGCCTTGGCATCTCCTTCCAGCCACTTCCCAGAGCCAGCCTGGCGGGAGGCGCTGGCAGGTGTGGGATCGGAGGGGCCCGGCAGGCGAGTGGAATTCTTTCCAGCCTAACATCACTCGGTGCAGCCGGCAGGTGGGACTTCCGGGGCGGGCCGGCCCGGGTGCAGGGCAAGCACCGGGTAACTGCCCAGAGAAGGGAGCAGGGCCCCGGGGCGCCCCACTGACCCCGCAGGCACGCGCATACATTTCCATTCATAACCGGGCCTCCCGCACACAAACACCGTCTTACGCAATCCCAGATTGGCCAAGGTGAGCGAGCTGGCGCGGAGCAGCTGAGGAGCGTACAGAACACTTCACAAGGGCACGGCCTCCGACAGCCCTGCCAGGCTCCTTCTAGAAAGAGCCACGGCCACGGCATGCCCGTCCATGATCTACCACCTGGGAGGGCTCCTCTGCGCACTGCCCCTTCCAACACGCCAACACATACACAGCCCCACGTGGACACAAATCAGGACACATGCTCACATACAGACACACCGGCAGACACACACTGGCATAGACACACACAGGCAAGCCCAGAGGCATGCAAACAAATGCACAGCCAGGCACATGCTACATAGACCCACACACAGATACACACACACACACTCTCACATCTTTGGCTCAGTCCTGTCTCAGTTCCTTGCCACCACCGGGCCACTCCCCCTCATCACAGAAGCCGCCGTAACCAGACCTGGAAGCCCTAAGTGCTCCCAGCCCCCCAAATGCAGAGCCCTTTTCCGGACCTTCCCTCCATCCTGGCTCTCCCCAACATCCTCTTACTCACCTGCTCTTGGGGCTCCAGGCTCGGCAGCCGAGGAGCACCTTTGGCCTCCGTGAAGCCACGGGCCCAGGCGCTCCGGCTCCCACAGCCTCCCCCCTTTAAGCTCCAGGTTCCGGGGAAGATCCATGGGAACTCAGAAACATGAAACCCCCTCTTCCTGCCAAGCCCAGCAGCCCACACCTTCCCCCCAGGCCAGGAGCTTGCAGACAGCAGGGAAGCTGGGATCCACCAGGAAGGGAGTGCTCCAGGTGCTCAGATCCCTTCTCGGGGTACAGCCCTGCCCAGCCCAATGGCCCGTCATCCCAGCCTGAGGGTGTGCGTGAGAGTGTGTGACTGAGCCCTCCTGCCCCCCTGGCTCCGGCCTGGGACACTGGCCTGGATATCCCCTCGCCCGACCCTCCCCTCAGGCTAACCTCAGATCCGGCTCCTCCTCGCTGGCTCCGGCCCCTCCCAGGGTTTCTGTGCCCTCAGCAAGCGGAAAGGCCACAATGCCACCTGATCCTCCGCACGGCGACCTGAATGTCAAGTCCCCACACCCTCGCCCATCGCTCGCCCTCCTCCCTGTCACATCCCGGCCGCTCTGCTTTCCAGGATGTGCCCCTCGCTTTCCCTCCTTGCTCCCAGGAGGGCCGCCAGCCTTCCCCTGCACCCCCACTTCCTCCTGCTCTCCCCTCCGCGGCCGCCGCACCCCGGCACTCCCTTCCCCTCGGAGAAGCACAGGCACGCAGGGAGGTGGCGGGAGGGGAGATGGGAGGAGAGACATGGTCCCTTCTGGTTCATCCTCGTCCTGCCCCTCCGTGGAGCGGTCCCTCTCGTGCCCTTCTCGGCAGCCGCTCCTCCAGACAGACAGCGCCTTTGGGGACCTCCACTCTGCACCCACCTCACTCCAGGAACTTTCACAGCTTCTCCTCCCCGGAGGCGATCAGAGCCTAGGACACCGCTCAGCACTGGGGCCCTCTCGTAGGGTGCTGCCTCCCAGCGTGGGCACCCCTGGCCTCGTCCCTCTGGGAGCTCCCCCACGGACCCAGCCTTCCCGGAGAGGAGAGAGGGCCAGCCTCTCACCTCAGCATCTCCCAGGCTTTTATGTCCCGTTGGTCCTTCAGGGCAACCCCCCTCCCCACCCCGCCCCCAAGCAAGCTGTCCCTCCCACTCCCCAACTTGGCTGTAGTGGCGATTCCTCCAAAATCTTAAGCCGGAGAGAAGTCTGGTTGGTCCTTCAAGATCCCGCCCTAGGAGGCCACCCTGACCCCCACCCCAGGTGGGCTAGACCCCCTTCCTGTCTCCCCCCCTCAGCGGTGGTTGTCATACCACATTGGAGCGGTTCAGTCCTTCCTCCCGTCCCCCTGCCCCTTCCCCCATCTCCTACGCGAGGAGCAAGCACCTGTTCCCCCGCGCCCCCCCAGCCTCCCACGGAGCCCCCCAAATACTATTAACGTGACCCACCTGTGTTCCCCAGAAGGCGGGCGAGCCGAGGACCAAGGCCGACCTGGCTTCCTGGCGGGCAGGGCCATTCCAGAAGACTCCGAGACACGACGGGGCTGGGGGCTCTGGCGTGGCCTCGGCCCCAGCGGGGAAGTGGTCTCTCCTTGGGGCTGGGAACCATGAGTCACCACCTGCTGGTGTGCGGTCGGTCGGGCAAGGAGGGAGATGTGGCCGGAGACACCTCACTCTCACTTCCTGGGCCTGGGGGTGAGCCAGTCCCCTCCGCGTTCAGGGGCTCCCCCGACCCAGAGACCACCCTCACGCCCAGGGGACAATGCCAGGATGACATGTATTACCCTCCCACCCCCGGGCTGTGTTCAGGGCCCTCAGCATCCTCCCCCTGCCCTTCCCAGTGTGCCAGTATGGTGGAAAGGGCCAGCCATGCTCTCATGCCGGGGTGTGGGGGTTCCTGGGCAGGTGTGCAGAGTGGAGGCCTCCTCCTCTCTTCCCCTCTCTCTCTTCTCACCGTGAGGGGCAAAGGAGGAACCAAAGCCCCAGAGCAGCCAGAGGAGGGCACGAGGCAGGCCCTGGAGACCCCCTCCCTCGCCAGCCCACACACATGTCCGATACAGGACACAGGGCCCGGGGCAGGCAGCTTAGGGCTCCCCCTGGGCCCCAGAGCTGCTGCCAGAGCCAGCGTGAACCCTCAAACCCCGCACCTGGCAGGGGCCCCGGAAGGAAGCAGGAAGGTCCGGAGGTCACCCTCCCCCTTCTCTGCCCCGTGGCCCCACAGGCGCCGGCCGGCCACAGCCTGCCAGGGGGGTGGTTGGCAACAGAAATCGGTGACCTCTTGCCACCCCGGGCCCTGTCTGCCGTCAGGGATCCTGTTTCCACTCGGCTGCCCACCCTCCCTGGACGGAGCTCCTCGGGGTGGGGCTTGGGGACGTCCAGGCGGCGCCCGCGAGCACATTTCAGGCCAGGCCTGGGGGGTGGGGCAGGGGTGCCCATCCCCTCGCTCCCCAGGTCATGGGAGTCAAGCAGCCGCTTTGGGGAGACCCCTCAGGGGCGGGGGGGGGGTGTCCCCGCCATCGGAGGCTGGGGCAGCCCAGGACCCGGGACAAAAAGGCTTTTCCGGATCCTCGCCCCTGACCTGCGGGAAGGGGCTGGGGGACCCCAGAGGGAGGGTCAGCCGCGCGCAGAAGGGGGGGGGACCCCAGAGGGAGAGGCAGCCGCGCGCAGATGGGGGGGACCCCAGAGGGAGGGGCAGCCGCGCGCAGATGTGGGGGGACCCCAGAGGGAGGGGCAGCCGCGCGCAGATGTGGGGGGACCCCAGAGGGAGGGGCAGCCGCGCGCGGACGGGGGGGGGGACCCCAAAGGGAAGGGCAGCCGCGCGCAGAAGGGGGGGGGGACCCCAGAGGGAGGGGCGGCCGCGCGCAGATGTGGGGGGACCCCAGAGGGAGGGGCGGCCGCGCGCAGATGTGGGGGGACCCCAGAGGGAGGGGCGGCCGCGCGCGGACGGGGCCCCGGCGGAGGGAGGAGCCCGCTTACCGGCTCGGGCCCCGCTGGCGCCGGCAGCTCCGCTCCCCGCCGGCTCCCTGCGGCCCGGCCTCCGGCGGCGGGGCAGGCGGGCGGGGGCCCGGGAGGCGGGCGGGCGGTGGGGCACCTCGGAGCCGGGGCGGGGGGAGGCTCGCCCGGCGGAGGGGGCGCGGCGGGGCGGGCGGGGCCGCACCTCATCCCGCCCGGGCCCTCCTCCGAGCGGCGTGGACCGTCCGGCAGCCGGGCGGCCGCGGCTGGGCGGGGCTCATTTGAATGTCGTTAGCATGTGATTTGCATAGACCATATGCTCCCTCTTGGGGACCCCAGGAGAGCGAGGGAGAAAGCGTGCGATCCAGGGGCTCCCTCTCAGCGCGAAGGGGGTGGGAAGCCAGGGTGGGTAGCTGCCCGGGGTGGGGGTGGGGGCTTCCAATGCAGGCTGGAGCGTGGAGAGCCACACCCTCTGTCCTCGCCCCAGCTAGCCAGCCCTTGATATGCATTGTTTGAAATGTAGTTACTTTTTAAAATTTTTATTTATTTTAAAAAATTTTTATTAAATTGTTTTTTAATGTTTTCATTTTATTTTTCATTAAATTATTTTTATTTTTTCATTAAATTATTTTTATTTTTATTTTTTATTAAATTATTTTATTTTTAATTTGTTATTAAATTATTAATAATATTATTATTATTTTAGTTACTGCCATGTTACAGTGATTAAGACAGGGTAGTGCTGGCATAAGGACAGACACAATGGGATAGAAGTGATTTTCCACACGAACGCTGAGACCCGATGTGGGTAGGGTAGTCCGCGGTGGATGGTGCCGGAACAGAATGAGGTTGGATTTCTACATCGCACCATTTAAAGGAAAACATAAGGATCACAGATGGAGATGTGAGGCCTAAAACCATAAACTCTTAGAAGAAAACACAGGAGTAAATCTTCATAAGCTTGGATGAGGTGATGGATTCTTAGATCTGACACCGCAAGCACAAAGGACAAAAGAAAAA